AGTGCCACGAAAATTATAGTTTTCAATCCCGAAAATTAGTTTTCAATCTAGAATGTGAGTTTTCAATAAACAGGTCCCTGCAGGGTGGGCTGGTAGGAACATTGGAATTTTGCGCAATTTTATTTTTACACCCCAACAGCACGAGATTTCACTTCGTTAAAGTATTGAAAGGGGACGGACGGACGGACACATTAATCTATTGCAGGCTGGTACACTCAGTTTACAACTTCGTTCCTACCAGTATAAATTCAAGTATAGTAATATAATGAAGCGTGCTCGTGTACCTACATCGCAATGTCGAGAAGGTTTACTGTGGAACGGCGTTGGTTGTAAAGGTGCGTTGCAAGGTAAAACGGCGTTGGTTGTAAAGTTGCGTTTAAAGGTAAAACGGCGTTGGTTGTAAAGTTGCTATTCATAGAAGAATTCGTATTGAGCGAAATAAAACGGTTTTCTCCGTAGCACAACGTCACCAGGGTGAGATGAGTCCAGTCAAGAATGTAAACTATTAAAAAATATATTACTGGGTAAGGCCCACTGAGCTCAATAGCTTTTTATTTTATTTTATTCTCATTCTACGTGACTTTACCGAAAGAACCAAAGAAGATGAGAATAGGTTTTCCCCTTTTTTCTGGCAACAAAACAGGTGTTAAGATGTTACAACACCAAACTGAAACCTTTTACAAGGAATCATGTCTGCATTAATCACCATGCTTGTGGTCAGAATGCAAACAAAAACATACTCTGATAATATATGCATTGTCTTTGAAACTGATTGGTCCACACCAGAGACAGCTTTCTTTAGAGCCGAGTCTCAAATGGTGTTCGACCAGAGGACGTCCTCTGGTCCTCTGGTCTAAAACCATTCTTCCACTCCGATGGTGGGTGTTCACATAGGACCTCATTCAAATCTGCAGTAGCCTGGTCTCAGCTAGATGCTCGTAGTTGCACGCAGGAATTTCAACATTGCTTGCAGCTGGGGTTGGCATCGCCCCCCACCCCTTTACCTAATGCTGAGGGGAAATTGTTTAGGTTCAGGACTGTGGCTCATGCAGCTGCAATGGCTGCGTATATAGTCTAGACCTGAAAGAGGAGGTGTGTCCAGCTGGCTGAAAGAAAACGACGTGCCCACTCCCATCATCTGCAAGATCCCCGTCGGAGAATGAGGAAATGGAATTTGCCTCGGTAGGCTGAGGTCACAAGTCACTTTTTATTCCATCACGAAAGTAACTTGCAGCACCTCACCTATCACCATCCTTTGGGGAAGAACGATGATCCGATCTCCAACCCTCATGAACAGGTCTGCACATTTGCAGAGCATTTATATGAGGTATTCGGGGGAAGGGAATGGCCTCAGCCCAGATAACATCAGAGCAAGGTGGGGACGACCCAGCTGGGGCTGTCATGCCTGAAATATTGGAAGAAGTTGCTAACCATTGTGAGTCGTTGGTTGATGTGCCATCTGTGGAGGAAGTATGAGGAGTAATCTGTAGTCTGACACCAGGAAAAATATAGATAATCTCCCAAGCAATATGCTGAGAGAGGGTGGCATCTGTGTGCAGACTGCCCAATATGACATTATCACAAATGGCTCGATCACAGGACAGGTTCTGCAGGATTGGAAGGATGTCTTGGTGGTCCCCCTCTTTAAGGGTGGTCCCCCACTTTCATAGATTGTAACAACTACAGTGGCATTTCCCTCCTCAGTGTGCTGGGAAAGGTCCTGGCAAGGATTATTCAACATCGCCTTGCCAGGCATGCTGAGGAGAGGCTTGCGAAGCCCCATTGTGGTTTCAGACCAGGGTGGTCCCACATGGATGCCATATTCTCTGCCCGTCTGCTATAGCAGAGGTGCAGGAAATTCCAACAAGACCTAAATGTCTGCTTTATTGATCTGGTCAAGGCCTATGATACCATTAACAGGCCAGGGCTTTTGGCTGTTCTTCATGCTTTTGGAGTCCCTTACTCTGCTCACAATCATTAAGGACCTACATGATGGTGGGCAGACCCAGATAAAGCTACGTGGCCTGGAGTCAGAGCAATTCCCTTCGACCACGTATTTTGATAAGCTTTCCATTGCTGTAGCAGAACAAATTCCATCTGATACAGATACAATAGGGGGCTGATCGATACCCGAGTGCAGTCGAGGGATGGCTCCCTATGTTATGTTTGCTGATGATCTGGTAATTGCTGCTCACTCAGAGGAAGTGGAGGCGCTGCTGCTAAACCTGGAGTGACACTGAGAGGTGGGGTCTTCCTATCAGCCCCAACAAAACGAAGCACCTGCCTCGATATGTTGTGCCTTAAAACATTCTATCCCCACAACTCCCCTTTTGTGATGGAGCAGTTGTGGAGAGTGGAGAGTTTTCCATACCTGAGCAGTGTGAAGGACTCGCTCCAATTTAACAGTAGAGGCTTCACTCCGGATCAGTCGGGTGGCATTATCTTTTCATCAGCTGCGTAATACTGTGTGGAAGCTACCTGATCTGTCGCTCCACACGAAGCTTTGGGTCTTCTCGGCAACGGTGATGCCATCGCTTATCTATGCCTGTAAAACGTGGACCCTTCTAATGGAACTCCTGCACCGGTTAGATACATTTAGGCTGAACTGCCTATGACCCATCGTGGGTTTAACCAGGCTGGAGTGTTTGAGGAGCACACTAATCCTTGAAAGATCTGGACACATTCCCATCAGTGAGCTCCTTCGACAGGAAAAGCTGCATTGGCTGGGTCATGTAGTTGGCATGCCCAGCCATTACAAGCCCAAGCAGCTTGTTTGGCCCGATAGAGGGGGCTAAATTGACACGACACAGGCTGGAAAAGAGATGGACTGATGTGGCACAGGAGGATGTGGAGCTGAGTGGCCTTACCAAACACTGGTAGCAGCGATGTGAAGATCGGCCTCTGTGGGGGAGGCTCGTGAAGAATGCTACTGGGAAGTTGGAGGCAGTCGCCCGCCAACAACAGAGGACAGAGAAGCAATGCTCAAAACAATGAGGGGAGTACCGGGCAGCTAAAATGTAGCAGGTTGGCACAGTAGGGGACACAGTTGGTGCATGTGCTGTTCATCTCAGTCAGTGAATCCATGAAACCTGGGTCTATCCCGTGACCTCCTGTCGGCAAGCCTTCGACACTTCACATGGCCTCAAAGTGCACCTGGCCTGGCATAGGCACTATAGTAACTTCACCGCCAATTCATTGCGAATGGTCGCTGTTGTCGATGGTGGTGATCTTGCTACACGAGCCCAACTAGAAACGTAAGGTAACCACTCTTTTCACAACACGCACCCTGTTCTGAGGAGTGAACAAACCCCAGAAGAAACACCTCAAGTTCAACCAACTTCAAGCGAGCCCTTAAAATGTAATAAACAGCGTGATGAGATGACAATGCAGAACAGATATGCTTATACAGCATGAGTTAGCATTTCTTAAATGACTATTTACATGAAATGTATCTTAAAATCAATCTATACACAATTCTAAGCAACGTATGACACACCTCCACCAATATGGTCTACTTTGTGTCAACATGCGCGTGTGGCCTTCACTACAATGTAAAAACTGGTAAACGCCCCGACGATCGATTGAACCAACATGTCCTGCTGGCTCACCGTGCAGACCTCAGAACCAGTGGAGCGTCGCTTCAACGGTGGGCGTCACAGCCCTAGTGACACGCCGGTGCGTGGCCTCGCCCCCGATTTCCGGTTGTATAGTTTTATTTTTGAGTGCTGGACAAACCTCATCCCTTTGTACGGTTCAAAAATGGTGTAACCTCATCTTGGAAGACATTTATTCAAACGACAACATTTCTCAAATTGGATAGCAAGGGCTAGAAAGGCATTTAAAAATATTCTCCATAAATTTCTCTATCCACGGTTGGGGGTTCATGAATTTTAAATATCAGAAATTCCCTTTGCTCCTAAAATGTCTTGGGAAGCCTCTCTAATGCTATTAAAATAATCAGTGGAATATGCTAATGACCTTGCTGTCGGCCTCACAAGTCACCGATCTCTGCTGTGCCAGCAGCTGTGGGATCTGGCACAGCGTAGAACGTGTTGGTGACAAAGCCTTTTCCATTGCTGCACCAACGTTTTGGAACAACCTTGTTTCCTAACTTAACATCATATACATCTTCCTTCCAAATATATTCTGATGCAGAGTAGTGTTGGATACAGCCACATTTGCCCATGTGAATTATAAATTGAATCCTTAACAATGTATTGAGAGTTCAATTGTAATGAACAATTTTTATTAAGGGATTGTATGTTAAATTTTGATTTAAAGCTTTCGTGACTGCAGTAATTCATATTCTTAGTTCTTTCGGTAAAGTCACGTTGAAGGCAAACAACAAAATAATACAATATTATTATTTTAATAATAATAATAAATATTAATAAAATATTATTATTTTAATAATAATAAATATTATTTTGTTGTTTCCCTTCAACTTGACTTTACCGATAAATAATAATATTTTATTATTTTGTTGTTTCCCTTCAACGTGACTTTACCGAAAGAACTAAGAATATGGATTGTATGTTGTCTTGGTGTGGTCTAGGACTGTTTTTGCTGTTGTTTTACTGCCTGTTCGAAGCTTTGGAATTGATTACGCAATTTTAACTTAATACTTTTTTATATATTCAAGAGGCACTACGGTGGTGTGATGTTATGGTATGCAGGAGGTTGGGGGTTCAATCCCGTCCCTTGATGCCTGTATATTTAGAGTTTGCATAATTGGAGTTTTCTTCCCGTGGTCACGTGGATTTTTTCTCCGGGTCCTCCGGTTTTTTCCTCCACATTTATAAACATGCGTTTAGACTATTTAGATTATTTTGCTGCTATAAAGGTTCAAATGTTGGACCACTTTGTTAAACTATCTTTTGTGGCCACGTCGCTTTTGAAAAGCAAGTTAATACCTCAGTGGGGTTTGTCTGATGGCATGGGGATGGTTTAGTGTTTTGTATTTGTTTGTGTTTTGGTGATTTGTTAACCTTTCTTGTACTTTGCACTCCTATCGTGTTTTTGTGTTGTTTGTTGTTGTAACGTTCTTACCCACTCCGAATGGACACCTTTGAAAAAGAGCTTTATAGCTCATGGGATTTCTCCAGTTTATTAAAAAAATATTCTGATACTGATCGACAGCTTTCAGCACGATGATGACATCTTGATATAATGTGTTCCCTGTATTGGGGCTACGATTTGCGGAAGTACGCCAAATCCCACTTCTGCCCAGAACAGGGCACCAGCACGAGCTCCAGGCTGTAGCTTTTCTTTGCAGGTTCCTTCACCTCCAGGCACTTTTCTCCTTTCTGGAACCTCAGTTCTCCGTTCTGCAGCCACACGGTAAACAAACGTTGGATCTTACGAACTATTTGTACTCACTTTTTCTTTTACGAGGTAAGGCCCAATGAGCTGTTTAGCTCTTTTTTTAGAAGTGACCTGGCTATCACAAATGATCGCTCAATGATGGGGCTTATCACGTGGATATGTATAGCAGCCAAATACTCTAAACCCATATTTATAGATGTAGAAGGAAAAACCGGAGGACCCGGAGAGAAATTCGAAAGACCACAGTAAAACATGCAAACTCTAAATATACAGGCGTCAGAGTCAGGGTTGAAACCACAACCTCCTGTATACTCGGCAAGGTGATATACATCTCGCCACTGTGCTGCCCCAACCTTAAAGCCGTACGTCGATCAGCAACTAAATAATCATCATCGGTGCTGTGGGGAATAACAAAATAGAAAATCAGGCAATACAGCTCTTCCTTCCATGTACGTGTCCCTGCACACTATATATATACACAAGGGAAATTTGTGAATATGTGTGTCTGTTCAAAATGTTTAGCGTACTTCCCGACATGCAACAAACTTGAAATTTGCCATGTGGGTACTTTCCAGACTGTACACCATGCAAACATTATACAAATACACTTTTGTATTTTGGGGGGGGGGGGGGGCACAATAATGCATGTAATATTTTGCACGGTAGCGTCACGCAGTGTGCTTGCTGAGGTCACGCATCCGCCCCCACCCCAAACCCTTCACGTAGGCCGTGTATCCCGCACAAATGCGCGGCATCGCTGTCTCAATGTTATAAGTCACTATTTTCAGAATATAAAATAGAAATATTCTTAGCTCTTTCGGTAAAGTAACGTTGAAGGGAAACAAAATCATAAAACATATATAAAACAATAAAATTATCACGACGTTTCGACCGTAACACAAACGGTCATCATCAGGTGATCATCACCTGATGATGACCGTTTGTGTTATGTTCGAAACGTCGTGAGAATTTTATTGTTTTATATATGTTTTATGATTTTATTGTTTCCCTTCAACGTGACTTTACCGAAAGAGCTAAGAATATGAATTACTTTTCGATTTAAAGCTTTCGTGACTGCAATGATTCATCTTCTTTGGTTCTTTCGGTAAAGTCACGTAGAATGAGAATAAAATAATAAATTGATAAATAATAAAATAATTAAATTTATACATAATATTATTGTGTTATTTTATTTGATCAATTTATTATTTTATTCTCATTCTACGTGACTTTACCGAAAGAACCAAAGAAGATGAAATATGAATTACTGCAGTCACGAAAGCTTTAAATCAAAATATAAAGTAGAAAGTTCATCTGTTTGAGTGCAGCAGCAAAAACTCTCGAACGCTGAGCTCTGGCGTCTTGGAATTTGCACAGCTTATGCTGTCTGGAATTTCAAAGGGAACACGACTATTTTCAGCTCGCCACGTCATTCCCTTCCCGAGTTGCCTGCTTAAGGTTCAATTTCCTTGAGTGAAAAACATCCTATTTAGTTAAATTGATGTTTTGGATTTTTTCTTTCTTGCAAGCATCAATTCTTTTCAGGGTTTTCCACTGAAATATAAGGGAATATTAAATTAATCCAAGACAAGAATCCAAGTCCCGGGCGAAGCCGGGTAGTAAAGTTAGTTAAAATATAAGTCTCTATGTGGAAAGACAGATGAACGAAGGGGGGTTAGTAACGAGTCAAATATGGTCACATTGCTACATGGCCCGAAACCAACAATCAATAACGAACCAAAATATTGGCTACGTAAAAACCCACGTGGTTACTGTCAAGTCCATCACCTCAAAGTGAAGCAGCCTGCTGCTGGCCTCCTGACCGGACAGCTGACAGTCCACAAACGCAGGCTCGACTCCCGATGTTGACACCCCCAGACACACAGCTCCGGGGCTCACCAAGTCTATGTTCAGCCCGATCATAATCCGGTTGTCTGAGGTTCTCATTGCCAGCTGCTCAATGAAACAAACACAAGCAGACACACGCACAGAAGGATACCAGGGTGGTGCAGCGGTGACACTTGTGCCACACAGAAAGAAGGCCCTGAGTTCGATTTTGTATGTAGCCAACCGTATGCATGTATGTATGTATGTTGAACTTCTTTCGCACCATACGTTACAAACCATGTTAATCCGAGGTGCAGGGGAAGGACAAAAAACGAAATGCAAAAAGCAGTTCTAAACAAATTAGTTTTCAATCTAAATTTAAAAGTGAATAGCTCCAGTGGCTCCTAATATCGGAAGAGCGTTCCAGACGGCTGCAGAAGCGCATCTAAAAGCTTGCGATGCGGCGGTCGTCTTTGTTCGATGGCTCGCCAAAAGCCGCTGCTGCGAGGATGATCGGAGTTTGCATTGATGGTTTAAGCTTCTTTACAAATGAGCAAGGTATTGTGGTTCATTTGGGGCAAGCACTTTGTCTGTGATGAGTGTGAAGTGTGTTCTTCATAATTGATGTGCTATGAAGGGCCATTGCCTGAAACGTCACATATTGCTGAACGTGTAAGGTTAATTGTTATTTGTGGTTGTACACCACTGACAATGCAGTCTCGCCGAATAATCTGCAGTGCAAATACAGTGTAATGGCCATTAACACCACATCAATACCACAAGTTAATTGGCCAGTTATTCAATACAATACCTGGGGGGTGTATCCATGGCACTGGTACAGAATGGGACGCTGTGAGATTGGGTTTCCTTTGTCCATGCACATGCCCACTTGTTTGTTGTTTGTCATCTGAAATAAAATAAAAAGTTGAACGCTGTAAATTTTTGAATGATGACATGCAAGCAAACGTTCATGAATAACGAGAGTTTTAGGGTCTCTGTCCTTAAAAGAAGTCAATGCATGCTTCCGGTGACGTAATGGCCGAGTGAGCAGCGCTGAGCGGGCCGCTCCTATCCCTACTTCAGAAAACGACCCCTCGAACACGATAAACCACCTATTTACCTGCTTAATCGTTTTCCTTCTCCTTAGATCTTTAGATGATTTTTTTGAGCTTTCCAGGGCATTCGCAGACCCTCTAGGTCTAGGGCCCTTAACGAGCAGCTCGAGCCTGACCTTGTGGCTAGGTTAGCGGGATTCCTCCTCCCCTCCCCCCCCCCCCCCCCCGTATCTTCTTGTGCCATGGAAGACACGTCCCCCTGGAAAAAAAGCCAAGGTTTCATCGTCGCTGGCCTTCCCGGTCAAGGTGAGACCAGAGATTCCGGTGGGAGGAGCGTGGGACCTCAACAGGCTCGACGCTAAGAGACAGGTGTGTCAACTTAAACCCTACGGCCTCCCGGAGGCGTTTTAGGGCACCGCTTACCAAAGTGCTCTCACTTACATCCAGCTGCACTTGCCCGAAGCTTCAAGGTGCCCAGAATCTCCTGGGACACAGCCTCTCAAGTCGGAGGGAATTGTGCAGGTGTACCGGGTGGAAAAGAGAGGCAGGAGGCACCTGATGGAGACAAATGATGCAGCTCGGGCGGCAAAAGGGAGGGTAACCATGTTTTCATCGCCCCAGATCTCACTCTGGTGGATGCCAAAAAGAATAACCTCCTCCTGCCCTTTCACAATGACTTGGTTGGGAGAACCGGGGTGCACTCCCAGTTACTGTACCCGGCAAAGATTAAAATCCATGTTGGGGGGAGGTGGGGGGGATTGATTTCCTGATGCTGGATGAAGCAATGGGGTGCAAAGAAGTGCAGGAGATCCTGCAGGGGCCAGCAGGGGCCCGAAAGGAAATGGAGGTCAACCCTGAGTCAGCGTGCTGGAGATGGGGACCTTCATGGCTTGGGCAGTGCAGGACAACCCAGGTCCACGACAGCGGTTCCTGGGCGGCGTGTACTCATCAGGTGGCGGCGTGTAGCGGGAGGCTGCCATGCAGTTCCCCAGTCTCTCTTTATTCCTTCCACTTCATTCATGGTCTTAGTCGGGATTGGGCCCCCCCATCCCCAGGGACGGCCCGGAGTTTGGCACCCTGTGAGGGCGGAACGGAGATGATCTGATTCTTCTCCTCTGGCTCCCCTTCGGATGGCCACTGTTGATGGCGGGCCGGTGGTGCCTGTCCCCTTATCCCCTGGAGAACCCCTGGAGAACCCCCGGAGGGTGCCCGCAGTGCAACTGTCAAGAGGCCCCCTTCTCAGCCCACGTTGTGCATGAGGCGGCGGACTTTCGACGGCGGAAGGACCCATACGTATGGGAGTGTGCTGAGGTACCATGTATATATGTTGAACTTCTTTCGCACTGCACGCAGCCAACCATGCTAATCAGAGGTGCGGGAAAGGTGGGGATGATACACATCCCTGCAGCTGCTCACTGGAGGAGCCGAGGGGCGGTAGCGGCCGTGGTCCCCTTCCCTCCTATACCTCGGAGCACCTCCCAATATGCCCCCCTTGCCCCTGCCTCCTACCCGGCTCCTCAGCAGGACGTGCCGAGCATACAAACCTCGGTTCCCTCCCCTTACCCATCACATTCCACCTGCGGGAGAATAGGCCCTTACCGAGGGGCTCCCCGCATCTTCGGTAAGCCGATATAACTTTATAAGTTTCTGGGTTGTGCTGCTACGTGTCGTTCGGCACAACGTCCAACTTTTAGCTCCACATGCTCAGAGCTTCATAAGGAATTGAATTGTGCCACTATGTGTCCCAACGTCAGCGGAATGGCTACAGCTCCTGCAGTAGAAAAAGCAATACTGGTGCCTCCCGAGCCACGCTGGGCTACCTCGGCCCTTGGCATGGCTCAGATGTGCCAGTGGAAAACGGGAATCAGATACTCACCATGCCTTACTGGATACTCACCACGCCGTACTGGACGATGTCATCATGCCGTGGCAGTGAGGGCAGCACATTCTCCAGGTACCACGCGAAGCTCTTGCAGTTGAGCCGCTTGCGCAGAGCCATGCGCTCCGAGATGTCACCGATGTCGATCCCGGATCCCTGCGCCGGGGTCGTCAACGAGAAGAGAGTTGTACACTCATTGAACGTTAGGCCAAAGTTGCACAAACGTTGGACCGACGTTGGGCCAACGATCCACCGTTCACTGGGAAGTAATCAGGGTGGTGGCCCGCTCCGAGATGTCTCTGATGTCTATCCCAGAGCCCTGCGTGGCAGCCATAACAATTGGAAGAATAAACTCGCAATGAAACTTTCCAAGATGTTTCTGTATTTTCATACATTGATTGCCACCAACATCATCATCAATGTATAAAGACATCCTCATGCTGTCATCATCATTCACGGACTTGTGATGCAACAATTCAACAGCAGATTGATCATGACCGATGCTGATGATAACTATGATGACGAAGGATTAGACTACACCGCGTACATTCATGGGCACGTTCCAGGCCATGTAGACGTTCCTCTTGAAGTCGTCCATCCAGATCTCGGCCACGCGCAGCGCATTCCTGCGCATGTGGGAACTCAGGTCTGGGGCGTACGGCTTGAAGTGGCGTTCGATGTGAGCCAAGCGCGAGCAGGGCAGCACCTCCACGCTGCCCCCGCACTGCCACACCTGGAGACAGGAATAGCCCAGCCAGCAATGAAAAGCCATGGCAGAAAAGTACAATCTGTTCTCCAATAACGGGTGTTTTATAACACAAACTGGATATAACGAGATTAATGTATTAGGGTACACTTTTTTTTTAATCACGCGAATGCGTATTAAATCTGTAATGCAATCGAGTTAACAGAACAACGTCGCACGAGTAGGAATAAGCAGTTGTACGGCTGCCTCAGCGTAGTATCACACAAGGTTGAATGCTTACTGGATGCTTCGAGTTGCTACCCACGCGCCTTAGTCTTTGTTCAGCCTGTGTACATATTTCACATGTTATCGGGGACTGTGCTTTACCCTATATTATCTATTATTATGCAGTGCTTTTCAGGAATGCAACTTCCACGTTATTGGAGAACAGACTGTACATTCAGAATAAGGAAGCCGGCAGCACAGTGGACCCATAACGCCTGTATCTGTCTGTATGGACACGCACAAGTGAGTGAGTGCGGTCAAGGTTGTGTGTCTGGGTCATCACCCTGAGGCCCAGCTCCACGTTCTCCCCTCCGTACACCTGCATGCCTTCATCCAGAAAGCCGATCTCCTCCAGGTAGCTCTTGCTGGCCGCCATGCAGCCCATCACAATCGGACTCCTGGGGGGGTCAGTAAACTCGATGACAAAGTTCACTGTGTGTTTGGTACGATGCCCAAGGTTTCACGACACCACGCCTTCGGGTGGAGGCTCCCAGAGTGTGGAGAAAAACGTGCCAAACAACACACGGCAACAGCCAGAAAATACCCGGGAGAGCCGCTTACTGTGTGAACAAGGGGATAGGATTTGAGTGGGTGTGGTTATGTATAGGTGGGTGTGGCTAGTGTTCATGTGGGCGTAGTTATATAAGTAGGTGTGGCTAGTGTTATTGTGGATGTGGGTATGTGTAAGGGGCATGGCTACTGGTGAAGTGGGTGTGGTTATGTATAATTGGGTACGGTTAGTGGCCATGCGGTGCTTGGCTATATAACTCTAGCTCATTTCATGCTAATCTCTCTCCCTAATCTCTCTCTCCCTAATCTCCCCCGTTAACACAACTGACATACTTGCGCCCGGGGATGGAATTATTTTCCAGCTCAGACCCCGCTTGCTTGCCCATCGCCACATATATAACCTCTTGTAACAGCTCTCTCGCTGGTTCAGCAGTTCCACTGCTGGATTTTTTTGTTCCGCCTGAGGACGACCGCTTGTGTTGCGATTGAAACGTCATATATTATTTTCTGTTTTATTAAAATTTTCTACCTACATGACTTTACCGAAAGAACCAAAGAGTATGGATTCCTGCAGCCATAAAAGCTTCAAATCAAGATTGAATCTGGGTGGGGTTGATATTCTTTGGGTCTTTCGGTGGGTGGGGTTGACTTTTGGAGAATAAGGGGACTGCCAGCTCACTGCATGTCCTGCTTGAAGCCGAGCCCTTGGGGGGGGGGGGGGAGGTACCTGATGGGGGCCGTGACGTCCTTGTCGGAGAACCACTTGAGAGGGGGCACCATGTAGGTGCACCACAGCTGCCAGGTGAACGTCTGCGCCTGCGACGGGTAGCGGTGGACCTCGAGCGTGTCGTAGTGCGTGTTGTCGAACACCGTGGAGACCACGACGCGGCGGTCCTCCTGGATCCGCGCCAGGATGGGCTCGGCCCTAATTCGCAGAAATGAACAACAACATTGTAAGATTTTGGTCAGGGCCCATCACGACATCTCTCCAATACCGCTAGTAAAGCAGTCCAGCCCACCCAAGCTCTCAGCACACACCCAATCCTCAGTACAGTCTGCCAAAAACGAAGAACCACCGACTCTTGCAAGACTTTTTTTTAACGCAACAGAAATAAGCCAAAAAACAATCACGAAACAATCAACCCGCTCACGTCACCCTGAAAGACATCCAACTGCGCAGCAGAGTCTGGACTCTGGTAACCCTTCCAGGCCTAGGACAGGATAGGCTTGCAGCCTCAATCGCCTGGGCTCTGATGCAAAAGCAGCTTGTCGCCTCAGACCCGAGGCAAACTCAGGAGCAGAGTGCTACCTCAAACTCCTGTGCTCTGCACTCGACGGTAATGTAGATGTCGAACGCCCACCATTGCAGAGATCATGCGTGCCTAAGAGGCTCCCAGCCCCCATTCTCGGTGGTGCTGTAGACGTCTAACGCACAGGGGTTGCAGAAATGTGGACGCCTGGGAGATTCATCAACAGCGAACGCTCCCTCCTTGAAAGCGCACGGCAGATGCAGGGCATGAACCACCACCCTAACACTACGATGGCTGGGAGAAGCCTGAATACCACCCTGCCTGAAACACTGAACCTGTTCATTTACTTCCTGTATCACTATGCCTGTAACCACGGAAACCCATTGAAACACGACCTGTATCATCACTCTGCCTGTAACCACGGAAATCCATTGAAACACTTCCTGTATCATCAATATGCCTGTAACCACAGAAACCCATTGAAACACTTCCTGAATCATCATTATGCCTGTAACCACAGAAACCCATTAAAACACTTTCTGTATCATCACTATGCCTGTAACCACGGAAACCCATTGAAACACTTCCTGTATCATCACTATGCCTGTAACCACGGAAACCCATTGAAACACTTCCTGTATCATCACTATGCCTGTAACCACGGAAACCCATTGAAACACTTCCTGTATTATCACTCTGCCTGTAACCACGGAAACCCATTGAAACACTTCCTGTATCATCACTATGCCTGTAACCACGGTAACCCATTGAAACACTTCCTGAATCATCACTATGCCTGTAACCACAGAAACCCATTAAAACACTTCATGTTTCATCATTATACCTGTAAACACGGAAACCCATTGAAACACTACCTGTATCACTCTGCCTGTAACCACGGAAACCTATTGAAACACTTCCTGTATCATCACTATGCCTGTAACCACGGAAACCCATTGAAACACTTCCTGTATCATCATTACGCGCAGCTACGAGAGCAAACGTCTCGTCCAATCAGAGCGGCTGTTTCATCATTAGACCTCCTTTGCCAGTACCAAAATGTAATAATAGGGTTTTCCCCCTTTTTTCTGGCAAGAAAACTGAAACCTTTTTACAAGGATTCATGTCTGCATTAACCACAATACTTGCAGTCAAAATGCAAACAAAAAAACACACTATGATAATATATGTGGCATTGTCCTTGAAACTGATTGTTCCACACCAAGGGACGGCTTTCTTTTGAGCCTCGACCCAATTGGTGCTCGACCAGGGGACATTCGCTGTTGATGAACCTCCCAGGTCTCCACATTTCTGCAACCTGTGAACTGTGAGCGTTCGATGTCTGCAGTACCACCGAGTACGGAAGCTGGGAGTCTGAGGCTGTACGCTGCTCCTGAGTTTAGCCCAGGGGTCTGAGGTGACAAGCTGTTTTTGCATGAGAGCCCAGGGGCCTGAGACTGCAAGCCTGTCCTGCCGAGGCCTGGAAGAGCGACCAGAGTCAAGACTCCTGCGCGGTTGGGTGACTTTCTGTTTGACATGAGCGGGTAGTTTCATGATTATTTTGGTGTTGTGTTTATTTGTGTTGTGTTAAATATTAAAGTGTCTGTTGCAAGAGTCGATGGTTCTCTGTTTTCGACGGAATGTGCTGAGGAGTGGCTGTGTACTAAGTGGACTGCTTTACGAGTGGCTTTGGAGAGAGGTCCTGACCCTCATAATCGTCACAACGGCTTATGGCCAGCCATCGAATAAAGTCGGTCACCGTATCGTGCACTTTCAGATGCACTTCTGCGGCTGTCTGGAACGCTCTTCCATCCGATATTAGGAAGCCACTGGAGCTGTGCACTTTTACATCATCTCAGTTAAACATGTATTTCTCTTGAACTGCTTTTTGTGTTACAGTAAGTGTGTTGTCATTCCCCCGCACCTCTGATTAGCATGCTTGGCTACATCCTGTGAAAACTAAGTTCATATAATATCATTTGTATATGCATACAAATGATATTCCCGCTGATTTCACATTCGTCTTGTGCACAGGGAGCCAAGTCGGGTTGTGCTGTGCAGACTCTTGAGTGGCAACCAGTGTCATGCTCCTCGCAACGCGAGGAGCATGACACTGGCCAACTCCACCCCCCCCTTCCATGCCGTAAGCAGCCTTCCTTCCTTCATCGGTGCTTTTTGCTATTTGCATTCTCCCCAACTGGTAAAGGCTATGCACGGGTGGGGGGGAGGGGAACCTTTACCTTGATGTGAGACTCACCATCCGACGGGGAACTCCACGTGCGCGTCCATGACGGCCACCACGGGCCCCGTAGCGGCCCGGATGCCGGTGACGCGCGACGCGCTGAGCCCACGCTGCGTTGCATGCCGGACGATGCGGATGGAGACCTCTGGGTACTTGCGATCCAGTGCCGCGATCCTCGCTTTGAATTGTTCTTGCAGGTCTCCTGGTGAGAGCAGCGTTCATTCTTTTTTGTCCGCATTCATCATCATCATTAAGTAGCAACAGAACGCTGCTCAATCCAGAAAAATCGGAGGTTCTGCTGGTAGGCATTCGGGGTCAAGCGAAAATGTTGTTGATGACAGGTTCCGACAGTTCAGTTTTCTACTCAGCTAAAAAAGCCTCAGCACCATACTTGACCAAACTACGTAATCTGATCACCACGTGCAAAATATAGCCAGGTCCTGTAATTTTTATATCAGGGCTCTACAACACATTCGACCACTTGAGCTGTGACATCGCTAACACGGTGGCGTGTAGCATAGTATCGATAAAGCTTGATGATTACAACTCACTACTGTACGGGGACGTATGTCAAAAACATTACCAAGCTGCCGCATGGACAAGATTCTTTGGCACGTGCTGTGACAGATATTGCATTATCTGTCCATGTCCGTCCAGTGCTCGCTGAGCTGCATTGGTTCCGATTGCCAAACATACATTATAAGGTTTCACTCATTACACACAAAGTGCTTGCCTCAAATGAACCACAATACCTTACTGATCTCGTCAAGGAACATAAACCATCACTCGAACTCCTGTTATCCTCGCAAGCAGCTTTTGGTTAACCATCAAACAAAGACTGCCACTGCATCGTGCACTTTCAGATGCGCTTCTGTGGCTGTCTGGAACACTTCCTTCAGATATTAGGAAGAAAATGGAGCTATGCAGTTTTAAATCATCTCAAATGAAAATGCGTATAATTTGTTGTCCTTCCCGCGCATCTCCGATTAGCACGGTTGGCTATGTACAGTGTGAAAGAAGGACAACGAACTAAACACAAAAATACCAAAGTCGGTTTGTACGGTGCAAACTCCACAATCATTAGCAGCACATTGTCCTGACGCCGGTTTGGTCATGCATCAGTCCGCCACTTGGTCTAGCAAGTGATAGCCTTGCACTCATTAATATTAAGTGTCGAAATGGGTTTACCAATTTCATCAATATACAGAGCTTGAGAAGTATATTTGTATGACAATTTGGCATAACAGGTTTCTATGGGCTATTGTACATTATTCCGCCACACGCACGCCCCACATCCCACTCACTGACGTTTGGCCATTTCCTGCCACGAGTGGAGGACTGTCCATCCTCGTGGCGACTGGAGCCAGAACCAGTCCACTAGGCCTCTTGTATTCCACAGAGGTCCAGTTAGTAGTGGTCCAGCTCCCAACTTAAAAGATCAACTTAAAGATATAAATTTTACCTGGTAAGGCCCACTGAACATTATAGCTCATTTTAAAAAACGAGGTGGCCATGAATAATAGCTTAACGAAGTGGCTCGTGGAAATGTATAGTGGCCAAATACTCTTGAGTGCACGTTTCTAAATGTGGAGGGGGAAACTGAGAGAAAGCAATGCGACCATGGGGAGAGAAACGCAAACTCCAAATATACAGCAGGCATCAGGGTCAGGATTGAACCCACGACCTGTAACTCAGGAATTTCAGCCTCTCCAGAGAGCTTTCACACTTTCCAGGCCGACTGAGGAATCCATCCGGATTTGGTCTGCGGTGAAAAAGGTAGCGGGAGTGGAGGTTGGGGAGGAGGAAATCAGGGAGGTGGCAGCCCTACAGCTCTCACCCAAGGTGCTGCAGTCATCTATGAGGATGATCTCCTTGAGGAGGTGGCGCGGCGTGTTGCGCACGGCGGAGGTGACGGCGCGCAGCAGGATGGAGACGGCCTCGTTGTAGAAGATCAGCACCAGGCTGAGAGCCGGCAGCTCCGACGGGTACTTTTTGGTGCTGCATCTGTTGGATGCACGGGAGAGGGGAAGTATGGTCAAGCGATCCCCGTAACAACGAACTACGTGGGGAGGCCCTAGTCCAGCAGTGCTGATGCACACTCGTACTCACGCTCAGCTGGCGAGTTCTGTGATGGTGATGATGATGAGTGTAACTCTGCGAGTGAGTCGCATGCCTGGGGGAGGGGGGTGGTTGATGATGATGGTGGTGATGATGGTAGCGGTGATGATGATGTTCGCCAAATTAACTCTGTACCTCCTCGGTGGTGCCAAATGGTAACGCTTTGGTGGATGTGAGCAATGCCATGGAGGGAAGGCTGATTCCGATCGGCTGTATCCCTCATGGGGCTTGTACCCACCAAAGCGGCCAAACGGGGGCTCTGGATGGGTGCGAGGGGCGGGTAACCCCTCCACCTTCAATTTAAGTACCACAGAACTGCGTGAAAAATATTCAGCTACGCTTTTTCCAGATGCCCCGGGGGGACAGACGTCTATGACTTCTCCTGGCCAAACTCCATTTGGCGAACCCAGGAGACTGAACTCCAGGGAGTTCCTCCAGAAACAGCAAAACGCCACTGCGAGTGGCCATGTGGAATGTTAGAACGCTAACTGCGGAGGAGAGGCTACCACTCTTCTGTCAGGAATGTGACCAGTACCGCCTGGATCTCTGTGGTATTCTGGAGGTCCAGTGGACTAACTCTGGCTCCAGTCACCATGGGGGGTGGACAGTCCTCTACTCGGGGTAGGGAACTACCAAACAACAAGGAGTGGCTCTTCTTCTGAACAAAATAATGAAGGGGGCGTGGAGCATGGCGGTGAGGTGTGGGAAGCTATAAGCCTCCGGCTACTGTGGGCTCGTCTCCATATCAACCAGAGGAAAGGAGTGGTGGTGGTTGCTTACGCCGCCACCGAAGATAAACATGAGTGAAGGGATTAAGGCAAGACCGATGAGTCGGATGCCTTTTATGACCTCCTGTCACAGGTGTTTGCTAAAGTGGCCTCTCGAGTTAGAGTCATCCTGTTGGGTGACTTCAATGCCCGAGTTGGTCATGATGCTGGCAACTGGGCTGGAGTGATGGGAAGGCATGGGCCAGATCAGCTTAATAACAACGGTAGAAAGCTGCTAGAGTTACCATTAGGCTGTTCCGGCATTGCAGCATCCACACAATAACCTGGATGCACGCCGGGTCCAAGCAAGAACATCTTCTGGACTATATAGTGACGGAACAGCGGATGGAGGCCCATGTCCTTGACACCAGGACCTACTGTGGAGCTGATCTGCCCACTGACCATCGGCTTGTCATCTATAAGATGCGCCTGTCTTTCTTCCACTCCGGTGGTGGGTGTCCATCTAGGACCCCATGCAAACCCACATTGGCCTGGTCTCGGCAAGTTGATGAAAGTTAAAAGTGAGAATATCATCACTTGCAGCTGGGGTTGGCATTGTCCCCCCCCCCCCCCCTCCTCCTGATGCCAAGGGGAAATGGGAAAGGTTTAGGACTGTGGCTGCAATGGCTGCTTTGGGTACACGGTCCAAACCTCCCCAGAGACCCTGGCTGATGGAGGACGTGTTGTGGCTCAGAAAAAGCGACAGGTCCACTCCTTCCCACGTCAGAGAATGAGGAGGCTTACCGCAGCCTTCGCTCGGAGGTTCAGAGAGCCGTGCGGAGCTTCAAGGATGAGTGGTGGTCGCGAGTTACTGAGGAGATGGAGTCTGCCTAAGTAGCCCGTAATAATCAGCCCCATCAAAACTAATGATAATAATGGTGATTAGGACGATGATGGTAGTGATGATGATGATGATGATGATTTCGACGACGATGATATAGTTGATGATGATGATGATGATAACAATGACGATGGCAGTGATAACGTCGCTGCTGATGATAATGACGCCGACCAAGTGTGACTCCGAGTGGCATACCCGAGAGGCCGATTGTCGGGCACGTCGCGGTCGAGGGGCAGCCGGTCGCTCAGGTAGGCGTTGTAGCCGTAGGTGAGGAAGCGTTCACACGCTTTGCGCTTCTGCCGTGCCGAGAGGTCCTTGCCCCACTCCTTGAAGAGATGAGTCTCGGGGCTATAAACCCACTCGTTCCCTTTACACACCGGTGCATTCTCTGGTGTCTTCTCAGACTCGGCGCCATCTGCAAGGGCGGCGAGGTAGGAGAGACTCGTTTCACTGGATTCATCTCTACGTGAGCTCATGGAACTCTGTGTGAGTTGATGAGTCTCTGTGCGAGTCTATGAATCTCTGCGTGAGTTGATGAGTCTCTGTGCGGGTATATGAATCTCTGTGTGAGTGGATGAGTCTCTGTGCGGGTCTATGAATCTCTGTGTGAGAGGATGAGTCTCTGTGCGGGTCTATGAATCTCTGTGTGAGAGGATGAGTCTCTGTGCGGGTCTATGAATCTCTGTGTGAGAGGATGAGTCTCTGTGTGGGTCTATGAATCTCTGTGTGAGTGGATGAGTCTCTGTGCGGGTCTATGAATCTCTGTGTGAGTGGATGAGTCTCTGTTTGGGTCTATTAATCTCTGTGTGAGTGGATGAGTCTCTGTGTGGGTCTATGAATCTCTGTGTGAGTGGATGAGTCTCTGTGCGGGTCTATAAATCTCTGTGTGAGAGGATGAGTCTCTGTGTGGGTCTATGAATCTCTGTGTGAGTGGATGAGTCTCTGTGCAGGTATATGAATCTCTGTGTGAGAGGATGAGTCTCTGTGTGGGTCTATGAATCTCTGTGTGAGACGATGAGTCTCTGTGCGGGTCTATGAATCTCTGTGTGAGTGGATGAGTCTCTGTGTGGGTCTATGAATCTCTGTGTGAGTGGATGAGTCTCTGTGTGGGTCTATAAATCTCTCTGTGAGTGGATGAGTCTCTGTGTGGGTCTATGAATCTCTGTGTGAGAGGATGAGTCTCTGTGTGGGTCAATGAATCTCTGTGTGAGAGGATGAGTCTCTGTGCGGGTCTATGAATCTCTGTGTGAGTGGATGAGTCTCTGTGTGGGTCTATGAATCTCTGTGTGAGAGGATGAGTCTCTGTGCCGGTCTATAAATCTCTGTGTGAGAGGATGAGTCTATGTGTGGGTCTATGAATCTCTGTGTGAGTGGATGAGTCTCTGTGCGGGTCTATGCATCTCTGTGTGAGAGGATGAGTCTCTGTGTGGGTCTATGAATCTCTGTGTGAGAGGATGAGTCTCTGTACGGGTCTATAAATCTCTGTGTGAGTGGATGAGTCTCTGTGTGGGTCTATGAATCTCTGTGTGAGTCGATGAGTCTCTGTGTGGGTCTATAAATCTCTCTGTGAGTGGATGAGTCTCTGTGTGGGTCTATAAATCTCTGTGTGAGTGGATGAGTCTCTGTGTGGGTCTATGAATCTCTGTGTGAGTGGATGAGTCTCTGTGTGGGTCTATGAATCTCTGTGTGAGAGGATGAGTCTCTGTGCGGGTCTATAAATCTCTGTGTGAGAGGATGAGTCTCTGTGTGGGTCTATGAATCTCTGTGTGAGTGGATGAGTCTCTGTGTGGGTCTATGAATCTGTGTTAGTGGATGAGTCTCTGTGTGGGTCTATAAATCTCTCTGTGAGTGGATGAGTCTCTGTGCGGGTCTATGAATCTCTGTGTGAGTGGATGAGTCTCTGTGCGGGTCTATGAATCTCTGTGTGAGTGGATGAGTCTCTGTGTGGGTCTATGAATCTGTGTTAGTGGATGAGTCTCTGTGTGGGTCTATAAATCTCTCTGTGAGTGGATGAGTCTCTGTGCGGGTCTATGAATCTCTGTGTGAGTGGATGAGTCTCTGTGTGGGTCAATGAATCTCTGTGTGAGAGGATGAGTCTCTGTGCGGGTCTATGAATCTCTGTGTGAGAGGATGAGTCTCTGTGCGGGTCTATGAATCTCTGTGTGACAGGATGAGTCTGTGTGCGGGTCTATGAATCTCTGTGTGAGTGTATGAGTCTCTGTGTGGGTCTATGAATGTCCACGCCAGTTTATGAGTCTCCGTGTGGGTCTGTGAATCTCCACGCGAGTTGATAAGTCTCTGTGTGGGTCTATGAATCTCCACAAGAGTTTATGAGTCTCTGTGTGGGTATATGAATTTTCACGCGAGTTGATGAGTCTATGTGCCAGTCGATGAATCTCCACGGGAGTTGATGAGTCTCTGTGCGGGTCTATAAATCTCCAGACGAGTTGAATTTCTACGTGAGCGGGTTGCGCAACTATTCGCTCAGATGTAGAACAAAGCAGTCGACATTTTCGCGACACGTACCTTCCAGAATAATTTCCAGCATGTCCTCGATTTTATTAAGCTGCGCGGCGAGATCCCAAGGCTCATACGGGACTGCGCTCTCTCTAGACAGAGGGGTCGACCCCTCTCCTGATCTGACGGTGACAGTCGAGGTGCTGGCGAAATCCCTCAGCATCCACAGGAGGTTTCCGATGCAGGAGAAGGTGAGGAAGAAACACAGGAGGCTCGACCTCCTCGCCACGGCCATCTTCGTACCCGGTCTTGGTAAAACACAGATCATTTGGTGATGCTGCTGCTGTGTTGGCAGTTATGCACAAGCACAAATAACAACTCAACGTGTCTGTCAATAACATGGGGTCCTTAAAAGTACCCTTTTGTAATCGTTGACTTTTCAGGCAATGGCCCTTATTCATATCACATGGTGCCACGGTGGCTAGGAGATGTTAACTACCTCACCTGTTATACAGGAGGTTGTGGTTTCCATCCCGACCCTGACGCCTGCTACTGCTGTATATTCGGAGTTTGCGTGTCAAAGTAAAGTTTTACTTTTTTTTGCGAATTACAAACCCGTCTCTAATCCTCCTCTTCCACCTGACCATGAGCGGGGAATGTGGAGGGGGAGAGAAAGGGGTGTGATGCGTGGCTTCTCCTCTGCCTCCCCTTGTGACTTTGTTCGGCGCCGGAGTTCGTCATGGAATCATCAGAACCGTAATGTTGAATCAGAATCAATATTTATGCTGGGAGGAATCCACAGATGTCAGGGACGGGTGGGTAAGCACGTTACGACAACAAACAGCACAACATCACACACGATAGCAGTGCAAAGTACAAGAGCGGTGATCAAATCAGCCAAAAGCATACAGAGCAAAGTAAACCATCCCCATCCAACGAGGCAAAGCCCACCGAGGTATTAACTTGTTTGTCAGAAGCGACCTGCAGGTGACCATCGCGCTGAGCTCACCGCTCTCTGCCTCCGGGGCCCAGTGGCTTTACCCTCACCACCGATGTCACGCGGAAAGAAATGGCAAGGTCCCCTCGCACGGTTGGCACGCAAACCCCTTTTGAACCCATGCAACTAAACCTTCAACAATGCGAGTTCAATCCCTCCCGATGAAGCTTGGGGAGCTGAATGGAGTTCAAAAGAACTCACAAACAAACACCGCCTTGCTGTGAAAGACCCGACGCAGAAGATTGCTGGTGTTTGATCTTCCACGAAGCTGCTCATGGTCTAAGTTGTACTTAGATTTTTCAGCCGCTTTGTATGTATGTGTGTTGAACTTCTTTCACACCGCATGTAGCCAACCGTGCTAATCGGAGGTGAGGCGGGGGACAGGAAGGACAACCAACTAAAGCGCAAAACGCAGTTCTAAAGAAATGTAATTTTCAATTTCGATTTAAGAGGTGTAACCTTTGTAATGCCACCGTCCGCCGAGGAATTAATTGAGGAACCCTCCCGACCAAGTCGAGGGCTTGAGTCAAAATCTGCCTTTGGAACACGGAGCCAGCCAATCATCATCATGGCTGGAGTTGCTGCTACACGACAGCAGCCTCTGTGAAGCGTCGTGTGACAGCCGCTCATCAACGATCGTCTTCTGACCGCGTCGACATCACGAAAAGGCGAACACCACAAGATTTTCTTGGTTTGGCGAATCGCGGGAAAATAAATAATTGTTGCCAAAAAATCTGCTTATTCTTTTCAAACTCGCCTTTTGCCCATCCAAGGACGAGTGTATGGCAGTAAATGTGAAACTTGCAAGCGAAAAGCAGAGAGCGACGTGATATTAATTGCATCAATTCGTGTGCAGTTTGTAAGGGCGCGGTGACACAGACCTATTTAATTTACAGATTATAATCCCTTGTTCATCACGACGTCCTTTTTACTTTGATGTCTCAACAGCAGCGTGACGGAGATCACGTGATGACGTGAGGGTTCTGTAGTGAGGGTTGTCAGTTGACGCCGAGGGGGGAGGAGGCGCCTCGCCCCCCATGTGGAATGACGTCACCTGCTAATTATTATGAATGGGGGGGGGGTGTCCATTTGGAGGACGTCACCTTATAATGATTATTAATGAGGGGGGCTGTTCGATGTGGAGTAACGTCACCTGCTCATGATTATTAATAAGGGGGGGGGGGGCATGTGGAGGACGTAACCTGTTCATGATTATTAATGAGTGGGGCTGTTCGATCGGGAGTGACGTCACTTGCACATGATTATTAGTGAGGGGGGGGGGAGTACTCCATATTGAGTGACATCACCCGCTCATGCGTATTAATCAGGAGGGGTGGGGGGGGGTGTCCATTTGGAGGACGTCACCTGCTCATGAATATTAATGAAGGGGGCTGGTCGATGTGGAGTAATGTCATGAGCGTTAAGGACAGACATTCCTGGTTGTTACCCAGAACCGAATCATGCAGCATCTAACGTAGACTCGATGCCCGATTCGCAAGTACGGAGGAGGAGGGGGGAGGGGGAGGCATCGTCACAACCGCTGACGACTCCAATGCTCTTGACGCAATCACCTGGCTCAGCCGACCTCGGTGTCAAATCGACAGCTGGTCGCTCAATATCGAAACGCTCTGCATCAACATCAGCCTACGAAGACGAGTATCTTCACCACGTGGCCAGGTTCATGCTCCGTGGAGTTTTACTATGTCCATTAAAAGCCCTCGCACTCTCCCCGAGAAAGGCTTACACCACCAGATATAACCTAATCTCAATAGAATCAGAATCAGCATTTGTATTGCAAGAGGAATCCGATGAGCTATGAAGCTCTTTTTCACCGGTATCCATCATCAACATCGATATGAATGCAAAATAGAGAAAACAGATACCCAAGTCACGGAATATGAATAAAACATTTTATTAACTATATATAAGTCCGATCTATCAAACTTGGGCAAGGCAGCAAAAACAACACCAACATAGTCCCGGGCCACACCAAGATAACGCCTCAAAGCAGTCGTCCCTCACTACAACGGCAGGCTAGCATTGAAAGATCGATACAGAGGTAATGATCAAAGTTACAAAATCACATTTGCAAATGTGACAGCTGTATCCAGCACTTATCTTCTGCTTCAGGATATTAATATTCCACGCAAGAAGCGGCAGTGTTGTCCTTTAAAATATATTGTCGCCGGTCCAACTTATTCCTGTTTGCACATGAAGTAATCACCCCTCTCTCTATCTCCCTGCGCAGGATTACAGCACTGCCAACAACATAATCTCAATATCAATAGAATTATGGAAGAAGCTGGTTGAACCTTGAAATCTATTTCAACCGGCTGTGACCCTGTCTCTCTCCACCTCCAGCTGTGGTTGTAATGAGAATACAGGCCGCCTGAATCTTGAACCAATGAGATCGTGACGTTCTGCGCCGTGTCCTGGGCCTTTTGTTGTGGCGATCAAGAGACGAGTGATCGAGAAGATAGTGTAACTGTATGCAGCCTATTTTGCTAGAACGCCACGTGTTGTTTTCATGACGCTGAATTGGATATAACGCAATGAACGCATTCGTGAGCTCCATTTTTTTTATAACGCGGATGCGAATTTGATCCAATTTAGATGCAGTATCCGTCGATATAAATACATCTCGAACGCCAATATCTTATCTCTGGCAGTCTTTTCTGATGTCCAAGTCTCACACGCATACAAAGCTGTCCTGAACACGTCGGCCAGACTCATGATGTCAGAATCCACACGCCACAAACACCTCACTGCCCAACCCCCTGTAGACGGGAAAACCAAGCAGGTGTTGTTCTTCTCCCACAAAGACTTTATGATCAACTTTAAATTTACAATATGTGTTGCTCATAAACCCCCAATCAATAAACCGTCAAACAATAGCATCGTTATTGTTGTTGCTGTAAATAGCAGCGTAAAAATATGTGTGTTACGTCGGCAGGTTAAGTGTTCCACGATCAAACAGGTTTAAACTATAAACTGTGAAGCATTTTTTTTCATTCACCACGTAAGGCCCACTGAGCTACGTAGCTCTTTTTTTAGAAGCGACCTGGCTGTCACAAATGGCAGCAGAACGAAGTAACGTATCATCATCAAGTGGAAATCAATAGCAGCCAAACGCGTGATGCTGATTCTAAATGCGGAGGGAAAACCCGGAGAAAAATCCATGCGACCACGGGGAAAGTGAGAAACGCAGATTCCGATTATACAGCAGGCGTTAGGGTCGGGCTCGAACCCACTAAACTGAACTATAAACTATTTTTCATTTTGCCAGGTAAGGCCCACTGAGCTATATAGCTCTTTACAGAAGCGACCTGGCCACAAATTACAGCTCAATCGAGTGGCTTATCATCATGTCGAAATGTATTGCAGTCAAATACTCCAAACGCATGCTGCTGAAGGACCTGGAGAAAAATCCACGCGATCATGGAGAGAGAGAGAGAGAGACGCAAACTCCAAATATACAGCAGGCGTCAGGGTCGGGATCGACTTTACGATCTCGTGTATACTAGGCGAGGGAGTTAACATCGCCTAGCCACCGCGACGCAGCAGGCATCGTCAAGGTCGGGATCGCACCCAGGAACTCCTGCGTACCAGGCGAGGTAGTGAACATCTCTTAGCCACCGCGGCGTGATGGATGCGGGACTCACCTGGGACTCCGGGCCCACGTCAGAAGCGGCAATGGGCCGAGGGAGTGCACTGGAGTTTGGTTGACCGCCAACGGCCGTGGGTCACGTGGGCGGGACTTCGATGCCCGCGTGAGAGGCTTCAAACTGAAATGTGACAGCGGGGACGGCTGGGATTCGAACGCAGCTCCCGCGGGCCATCGGACAGAGATGGTTCGCCGCAAAAGGCGCGGCGCTTTCGGATGCGCTGTTTCCACGGCCGTCTGGAACGCCCTTCCCTTCCGATATTAGGAATCCACTGGGGGCTTTGCACTTATAAGTCAACATCTACATTGACAAACTCATTTCTCCAGAACTGCTTTATGTGTTTTAGTTTGTTGTCTCCCACCTCCCCCGAACCTCCGATTAATACGGTTGGCTACGTACGGCGTGAAAGAAGTTCAACATAACGCATACATGGTGGTGGTGGTGGTGGTGGTGATGCTGATGGTGTTGGTGATGTTGTTGATGCGGCCGCCTGGAATCCGCTTCTTTCCGATATTCGCAAGCCACTGCTATGCACTTTCACATCTAAATTGAAAACGAATTTCTTTAGGACTGATTTTTGTGTATTAGTGTGTTGTCCTTCCCCCCCCCCCCCCTCCCACATCTCCAATGAGCACGGTTTGGCTACGTACGGTGCGAAAGAAATTCATCATTCATGCACGTTGGCGACCTACATTTCTCACACGATGTCCGACGCATTGCAACATTTGTAACCTTTCCTTTAGTGCGCGTGGGTCATGTTAAAAAAAAGGCCTTTGAAATCAAAACAAACAAAACAAAAATCTATGGATGGCCGAGTTGAGTGCGCGAAGAACAGCGGGAAGTTCTTGACACCTGCCAATCTCAATTTTGGAGCGACCTCTCAAATATCGATCACCGCTGAACGGACCCGCACATAACAACCCCTCGTAGACCGCACGTGCCCCGGTACAACTCACGCCGGCGAGCGCGTACCCCCCAGAGGCACTCCCACAGGCACCCACGCCGGCCATGGCCCTGCTGACACCGGCACGCGGGCAGGGGGTCGCGTGCGCGCTCGCCCTCACGGCCCTCTGCTGCGCCAACGCGTGGTGGCTCCTGCGGTGCGGCCGCGACGCTGGGCGCGTTCGGCCGCGCGGGAGGGAATCGGCGGCGTCCGCCTTGGGAGAGGGGCGAGACGCGGGGCGTGGGGTGGACGACAGACGACTCGGCAACATCGAACGGCTTTTGGAGACGCTCGTGCGAGGTACGGGGACTTTGACAGTCGTGCTCGTTGTTGTAAGCCGTGATAAAATCCACTGCTAGATGAAAGCCCCCGCCCCCCCCCCCCCCACCGAGCCGCCACCATCATCAACCATAGCAGCCATGGTGAATCCACAGATGGACGTTACTAGCTCGTTTAGATGTACCTCAAAGGATGGACAAGTGGTTACAATACTGATGCTCATTATTCGTATATTTCTCGGGACCACGTTGGGTCAGGCAGGGGGTAGTACAGTAGTAACCAAAACAAGACTGAGAATAGTCACTGCCCTACTCCATGCGTGTCTCTCAATGAACCTCCGATTATCACGGTTGGCTATGTACGGTGCGATATAAGTTCAACATACGTGCATACAATTTTAATTCCAAGCATGCACTTATCCGTGCTTATTTGCGACACTTTTCATTTATTGTTTCGATATTGTTCCACAGTCTTTGCTCACTTTTCATGTTGTGTTCCACATTTTTTAGTTCAGTGATCGGGGTCTTTCTGAACCGTGTCGCAAGTGGAATGGCATTAAACACACACGGATTCTAAATACATCTTCAGCACGTTGTTGCTGACGGACGTTTCGATACTTAAAAAATGCCACGAAGTGCTGACTTTTTACAGTATTCGGATGCGTTGATATAACCCGGCAGCATTTATTTAACAAGCCCTGCTCTGCTGATGAAATCCAGAAGGTCGATATCGGCACAAGTTGTTTTGCTTAACTCTTCTTACACTGTTTTTATTTCACCAGGCAAGGCCCCACTGAACTATCATCATCATCACGTGGAAATGTATAGCAGCCCAAATAATCTAAACGTGTCATTTTGGTTCTAAATGTAGTGGGAAAAACCGGAGGACCCGGAGAAAAATGCACGCGAGCACGAGGAGAGAGAGAGAAAGAGATGCAAATTCCAAATATGCAGCAAGCGCCAGGGTCGGGATCGAACCCGCGCGCTCCTACATACCAGGCCAGGCAGTTAACATATCGCCATGCTTGTATTTTAACATGTGCACGTAGCCGAAAGTGAATAGCCCGAGTGGGCGAGTGGTTGGTAAACCGAGTGGGTGAGTGAGTGGGTGAGTCGTTGAGTAAGTGGGCGAGTGGTTGGTAGCCCGAGTGGGTCAGTGAGTGAGTGATTGAAAGATCCAGTGGGTGAGTGAGTGGGTGAGTGATTGAAAGATCCAGTTGCTGAGTGAGTGGGTAAGTGATTGGTACACGGAGTGAGTGGTTGAGTGGATGAGTAATTGAAAGACCCAGTGGGTGAGTGAGTGGGTGAGTGATTCGTAGACCGAGTGGGTGAGTGCGTGAGTGAGTGGGTGAGTGATTGAAAGATCCAGTGGCTGAGTGAGTGGGTGAGTGGATGAGTAATTGAAAGACCCAGTGGTTAAGTGAGTGAGTAGATGAGTGAGTGAGTGGTAGACCGAGTGGGTGAGTGAATAAGTGGGTGAGTGGGTTAGTGCGTGGGCGAATAGCTGAATGAGTGGGTGGGTGAGTGAGTGAGTGGATGAGTGATTGAAATACCCAGTGGATGAGTGAGTGAGAGGGTGAGTGAGTGGTAGACCGAGTGGATGAGTGAGTGAGTGAGGGGTTGAGTGGGTGAGTGTTTGAAAGACCGAGTGGATGAGTGAGTGGGTGAGTGAGTGATTGGTAGACCGAATGGCTGAGTGAGTGAGTGGGTGAGGGAGTGAATGAGTGATTAAAATACCCAGTTGATGAGTGAGTGAGAGGGTGAGTGAGTGGTAGACCGAGTGGGTGAATGAGTGGGTGAGTGGTTAAGTGGAAGAGTGGTTGATAGACCAAGTGGGTGAGTGAGTGAGTTAGTGGGTGAGTGAGTGAGTGGGTGAGTGATAGGTTTCACCGAGTGCACGGAGTGCACTGACTCGAACGTGGGTGCGACGACACGGGGTTTACGAGTGGATTTGACAAAGTTCAAATTGTATCCGGGAACTTGACACCGCTGCCCAATGTTCTGGGCTTGAGTCAATAAACCCAGCGTTGTGTTTGCTCTGTTCTTGACCAGAACGGATTCATGTATTAGAGCTTCTAAAAGCGACTGCGTCGCACGGCACTGGGCAGACACTGGTGATATTTAAACAAAACCTCAACTTTAAAATATTTTACCAGGTAAGGCCCCACTGAGCTGTGTAGCTCTTTTTCAGAAGCGACCTGGCCATCACAAATGGCAGTTTAACGAAGTGGTTTGTCATCATAACATAGGAATGTATAGCAGCCCAAATACTCTAAACGTGTGATGTTGATTCTAAATGTGGTGGGGAAACCCGGAGGACTTCGGGACAAATCCATGCGACTGCGGGGAGAGAGAGACACCCAAACTACAAATACAGAGCAGCAGCAGGCGTCAGGGTCTGGATCGAACCCACGACTCCTGCATACCAGGCGAGGTAGTTAACATCTCCTAGCCACCGTGATGATGATGATGAGAGACGCAAACTACAAATAGACAGCAGCAGCAGGCGTCAGGAGTCGGGATCGAACCCACGACTCCTGCACACCAGGCGAGGTAGTTAACATCGCCTAGCCACCGCGGCGCCCTTAGATGGAAAGCCCCACGTCTCTGCGTGAGTCTGTGGGGCTCTAAAGGAGTCTGTGGCATTGTGAGTCTGTGGCTCCGTGTATTAGTATATTGGCCCTTATGTGATTCTGGTGGGTTTCTAATGTCACTGTTATGGGTGTAGCTGAGTAGTATACTGGTCCCTCAGAGAGTCTGAGGGTGACGTAGTCTGCCCATTTACAATTACCCTGTGGATTTTGCACAGCCTTTGAATGCGACCTCATATCAAGACGGTGGTTCGAAAACCGAAAAACTCACTCAGTTTTGCAGTTTGCAGTTTTGCAGTTTATTTATTTTGGTATAGCCCTGTGAGCCATTCGGCTCTTGAATCGGGTGCAACCACAACAAACAAAAAAAAACAAGAAAACATCTTAAAGTGACTATGTGACTGTGCAAATAGAAAATCCATGAAAAAAACAGCAAAATATTCCTGAAAAAAGCACCGTACACCAACGCTGTGTGCAAAAAATCCCAGTGGGATGCAAGTCAAACAACAACAACCACAAGAAAACTTAGATTTAGGCCATCAGTCTAACTCCGTACTACAACAAAACAAACATGTCCAAACCAAAAAACGTTTTCGAAAATCACCAAAAAATAAAGCCAGAATTGCAACGTAACAGTGATCATAGGGATTGTGACCGAATTTTTTTTACAATAAACTACATAAATAACATGCAACACCAAATCCTAGAGCCATATCTGGCTGCATGAGTTACTCCACAACAACAGAAGCATCAGTCGGAGTATCAAATTTTTCAATGCACCTTTAAGATCAGCACGCTAAATCAAAATACAGATTCTAGATTTGAAGCTTTCGTGACTGCAAGGATCCATACTCTTTGGTTTTATTCGGCAAAGTCACAACACAAGTGGCCCCCACCAGGCGAAAGGACCGGACTGTCCAGAGGACAGCGCTGGAGTGAACACAGCCAAGCCCAGGTCGCGTCCCCCAAGCTGTGTGGGAGGAAACAAAGCGCCCCGACAAAGGAACAGGAGCGGCCACTGTCATTTACATAACGATGAACACAATACGAACGAAGATCGAGTTTCAAGTTTTGTTGAACTCTAAGACCGGGCTGCTATGATCCATCTCTCCCATTACCAATTCAGTCACAATTGTGTTGCTACGTCTTAGCATCCGCATTGTGTAAGAATCCGCATGATGATTGCGCTCCCAGGAGAGTTTCAAGTCTCTCGTTGTTCAGGAGGGACCTGCCAGGTTTGTCGCGCCCGGAGCAATGATGCTGCTGCTGTGTGATCCAAATCGCCACGGTGGCTATAAGATGTTAACTCCCTCGCCTGGTACACAGGAGGTCGTAGGTTTGATCGCGACCCTGATGCCAGCGGTATATTTGGAGTTTCTCTCTCACCGTGGTCGCGTGGAAATATGCGTTTAGATTATTTAGATGATTTGGCTGCTATAAATTTCCACATGAAGAGCCACTTCGTTGAGCTTTCATTTGTGATGGGCGGGTCGCTTCTGAGAAATAAGTCCATAGCTCCATGGGCTTTACCTGCTAAAATAAAATTGTTTAGTTCTATTATTGTATTTTTTAGTGATTTGGTTACCTTTGATATAACTTGCACTCCTGCCTTGTGTTTTACTCTTTGTTGTTGTAACGTTCTGACCCACTCCGACTGGACATTTGCGAACAATATCTGTATAGCTCATCAGATTCATTCAGTATGAATACATTTTCTGGTTCTAAAGTAATTTTTCGGGAATTTTTCAGCATCGAGGATGTGGTTTTGCCCAATAGCAGTTCCACTGCAGGTGTGGGTTTAGCTGTGGGAGGGGGAAATCGGAGAATATGGAGGAAACCCAGGCAGAAGAGCGGCAGAGCATACAGTATTCGCACTTACTTACCCACACTCATACTCACTCACTTTACAGACAAGGGTCAGATCATACAAACTCAACAGTGAGTCACTCACTCTGCAGAAGATGCCCCAGTTCGGGAATCGAACCCAGGCTGCTGTCTCGTCAGACAGCGACAGCGTCACCGCTAGGAGATGTTCACTACCTCGCCTGCTATGCAGGAAGTCGTGCCTACGATCCCGACCTTGACGATGCCTGCTGCTGCGTATTTAGAGTTTCCGTGTCTCCCTCTCTTCCCCCGTGGTCGAGTGAATTTTTCTCCGGGTCTTCCGATTTTCCCTCCACATTTGGAATCGACATCGCGCGTTTAGAGTAATTTGCTGCTGCTGTAAATTTCCATTCGATGATGATAAGCCACCTCCTTGAGTTATAATTTGTGATCGCCAGATCCCTTCTGAAAAAAAAACAGCTACACAACTTAGTGGGCCCTTACCTGGTAAAATAAAAACAGATTATAGGTTTTTTTTTATAGTCTAATCTTCACGGGGCATTAGCCGAACCTGTGTGTGCACGCGCGCGCGTTTTACGTATTTGTCTTTTTACAAATTCCAACAACGACAGCAACAGCCAGGAACAATTCGGAGGCAGGCGGAACAGTGGAGGCCGCGGGCGCCGTGTGCCCTGGGAACGAGCTGGTGGACAAGCCAGCCGAGATCCTCTTCAAGGAGTGGGGCAAGGAGCTCCCGGCGTGGCAGAAGCGCGCGGCGTGCGCCCGCTTCCTCACCTACGGCTACAACGCCTACCTGAGCGACCGGCTGCCCCTCGACCGCGACGTGCCCGACAACCGCCCTCCCGGGTACGCCACTCGGAGTCACACTCTCGCTCAGCGTCACCACCACCACCACCACCGTCATCATTCATCACCACCATCATCGCCATCATCACCATCATCATCGTCTTCATCATCACTACCATCATTATCATGAACCGCCCCGGGTACACCACCCACAGTCACACTCACCATCACCACCACCATCGGCATCACCAGCATCAGCGTCATCGTCATCATCATCATTGTAATCATCGTCATCATAACGGCCACTATCATCATCACCACCATTATCATCACTCCCATCATCATCATCGTCATCATCAACCACCCTCCCGAGTATGCTACTCGGAATCACACTCGCTCATCCTCGCCATCATCGTAATCACCGTCATCATCGTCACCACTATCGTCATCATCGCCATGATCGTCACCACCATTACAACCACCACCATCGTCATCATCGCCACCATCATAGTCGTCATCGTCACCACCATCACAACCACCATCATCGTCATCATCGTTATCATCACCATCACCACGATCATCATCATCACCACCACCATCGTCGTCGTCGTCATCATCATCGCCACCATCATCGTTATCATCGTCATCACCACCATCATCGTTATCATCGTCATCACCACCATCATCGTCATCATCACCACCATCATCATCACCACCACCACCACCATCGTCATCACCACCACCATCATCGCCATGATCGTCACCACAATCACAACCACCATCATTGTCATCATCATCGTCATCATCACCACCACCGCCACCATCATCATCACCATCATCGTCATCATCATCGTCACCACCATCATAACCACCAACATCACCATCATCGTCACCACCATCAGCGTCATCATCGTCATCACCACCACCATCATCGCCATGATCGTCACCACCATCACAACCACCATCATCGTCATCATCACCATCATCGTCATCATCACCACCATCATCATCGCCACTATCATCATCGTCATCGCCACTATCCTCGTCGTCATCGCCATCATCATCATCATCGCCACTATCATCGTCGTCATCGCCATCATCGTCATCATCGCCATCATCATCATCATCGCCACTATCATCGTCGTCATCACCATCATCATCATCGCCACTATCATCGTCGTCATCGCCATCATCGTCGTCATCCCGATGCCATCGCCGCGCGTGACGTCACCCTCTGGAGCGTCACGTCGGCGTCGCGAACTGCGCATTGTGTGCCGTGGGTGGTGTCGAGATGTCAACTGCCTCGCCTGGTGCACAGGAGGTCGTCAAAGATAACGAAAGAGCTCAGTGGGCCCTACCTGGTCAAATACAAAATAAGTAATCTTTAAAAAAAACTTTTTTTAAAAACACGCTTTAATTAAATGTGCCCTACTAGTAATGGAAGAACTCCACGACTCCAGGAAGTTTCAAGTTTCATTTATTTAGGTATAGCCCTGTGAGCCATGCGGCTCTTAAGTCGGGTGCAACCGCAACAAACAAAATATGAATACAGAACATCCCAAAGCGACGACGCGCAACAGAAACATCCTTGAATAAACCAGCAAATATTCCACACAAAAAAAAAACGTATTAAAACGCTGTGCAAAAATCACAATGTGGTGCAAGCCAACAACAACAGGAAGTGGCCCCGAGGCTTGCCATAACGTAATGGACCGTGGCCAATTACAGCCAACGTCAGTTGAGCGTGGACAATTATACCCAAGGCGAAACATAACATACTAAAAAGATTATTTAAAATGTTTATTTTTTTATGATAGAATATAGTATTGTCATCAGAATGACATAAGTATACCAAGTGTGCATTCGATACCACATTGGGAAGTGCGTTTAAATAGAGTTACAAGATTTGAGGATACGACAACAACAGACAGTGAGTTAATAGAAAACGTGTAAATAAATAAAAAATATATTCCGTGGAAAGGGGGCCGCGTGTTGGAAAGCGTAGGCCGCTTGTAAACTAAACAACAAACTTCGCTTTATACCAAGTAAGGCCCACTGAGCTACTTAGCTCTTTTCAGAAGCGACCTGGCTATCACAATTGATAGCTCGACGAAGCAGTGGCTTATCACGTGCACATTGAGAGCAGCTGAAACACTCAGAACGCGTGGCGTTGATTCCAGATGCGGAGGGGACAAACCGGAGCAGGACCCAGAGAAAAATCCACGCGAAGACGGGGAGAGAGAGAGAGAGAAACACGCAAACACCAATTAGCTCAGTGGGGCCTTACCTGGTGGACAAATAAAATAATAGAAAAATAGTTTTGATTTAAAGCTTTCGTGACTGCAGTAATTCATATTCTTAGTTTTTTCGGTAAAGTCACGTTGAAGAGAAACAACAAAATAACAAAAAATATATATAAAACAATAATAAATTCTCACGACGTTTCGACCATAACTCATGATGATGACCGTTTGAGTTATGGTCGAAACGTCGTGAGAATTTATTATTGTTTTATATATATTTTGTTATTTTGTTGTTTCTCTTCAACGTGACTTTACCGAAAAAACTAAGAATAAGAAAAATAGTTGTTAACTTTAATTTCAAAGTCTGTGGAAAGCGAACGCCGCCTGTGAAGTGGCGGCTACGCCGAAGGGCGCTCGGGAGCACGGGCGAACCCCTCGACCCCTGCAGGCGGGCCGAGTGGCGACTCGGCGGCAATCGGAGAAGGTCGCGAGGTCAAGTCCTGGTTGAGGGAGGGGTGGGGGAGGGGCGGGGAGGGCTGGGGGGAGGGGCGGGGTGAATCAGCCCCATCAACGTAATCCCTCGCCCCGTGGCGGATACAATTAGAACTCCAGGTAAGGGCACACTACTGAGTTTTGTAGCTCTTTCTCAGTAGCGACCTGGCGAACACGAATGATAGCTCAACGACGTGGCTTGTCATCATCACCGTGTGGAAATGTGTAGCAGCTAAAACAATCAAAACGTGTGGCGTCGAGATGTGGAGGGGAAAAAAACGGAGAACCAGGAGAAAAATCCACGCGACCACGGGAATAGAGAGAGGCACGCAAACTCGGAATATACAGCAGGCGTCAGGGTTGGGATTGAGCCCACGACCTCCTGTGTAGCAGGCGAGGTAGTTAACATCTCCTATCCGCCGCGAGATGTAACATTAACCCAGGGAAGTCAACGGCGGTGGTCCTATGGATTGGGACTCGCCTCCAGTTCACAGTAATGTGGAATGTCCACCGATGGCTGAGGGCCGCATGCGGCTCGAGGGAGACTGATGCGGCCGTCTGGAACGCTCTTCCCTCCGATATTAGGAAGCGAATGGGAGCTATGCATTTTAACTCATCTATATTGAAAACTAATTTCTTTCAAACTGCTGTTTGTGTTTAGTTTGTTGTCCTTCCACCGCACCTCCGATTTAGCACGATTGGCTACCTACGGTGCCGAAGAGGTTCATCGTACGTACGAGCACATGTAGTCTGCGGGTCTCTTTCCCAGAATATATACAAAGTTTGTTCACCCTCAGTCCTCCAGACACACTCACACCGCCAATGAGAAGAGCTCAAGGGTCTGGCGAGAGCCATTCTAGACGGAGGCCCCGAGTGTGAGTCAAGGGTTCACTTCGCTGTTTGCTCAGCCAGCACTGCAGCGCTGCTGCTGCTGCTGGTGGTGGGTGGGGGACGCAACGGTGACGCTCGCGCCCCACAGCGAGAAGCGTCTGAGTTCGAGTCTGCGGTGGCTCGGAGATGTTAACTACCTCGCCTTGTATGCAGGAGGTCGTGGGTTCGATTCCGACCCTTACGCCTGCTGCTGTATATTTGGAGTTTGCGTGTCTCTCTCCCTGTGGTCGCGTGGATTTTTCTCCGGGTTCTCCGGTTGTTTCCCTCCACATTTAGAATCAATGTCATGCGTTCAGAGTATTTAGTTGCTATAAATGTCCACGTGATGAGCCACTTTGTTGAGTTATCATTTATGGCCAGGTCGCTTCTGAAAAAGCACTACATAGCTCAGTGGGCCTTACCCACTAAAATATAAAAACATTGTTTAGTTTAGACTCGGGCGCATCTCTGTGTGGAGTTTGCATGTTCTGTAGAAATGTTTGTGATGGTGGGAGATTGTGTGAGCGAGTGCGTGGCGGGGAGCGGAAGCGTAGCGGCAGTCAGCGCGCCGCGCTACGAACCCCGGTTATGACCCGAGTTCGATTCCCACTCAAGGCCAACACCAACAGCGGTGACGATCATCTCAAGCCGTCATGGGCCTCCCCCCACCTAGGTAGGCTCAACCTCAAATGAGGACCTGGTGGGGTGTGGACACGTCGCCACTGTGTAGACAAAGTCGGCCAGGCGTGGTGCTGCCCATTCATCACCACGTGGGTCGCTGGAGGGGTTACTCGCCCATACTTCACTACGTGGGTCGCTTCCCCTCTCCCGCCCCCGCCCCCCCCCCCTGCAGCTGCAGCTCCAAGCGGTACCCGTCGGAGCTGCCGGCCCTGAGCCTGGTGCTGATCTTCTACAACGAGGCCGTCTCCATCCTGCTGCGCGCCGTCACCTCCGCCGTGCGCAACACGCCGCACCACCTCCTCAAGGAGATCATCCTCGTCGACGACTGCAGCGACTACGGTGAGAGCTGCGGGGTTGCCACCTCCTCATCCTCATCAACCTCCTCCTCCAAAACCTTTATACATGCTAAAGATTTCATTGTAGCAGGTAAAGCCCACCGAGTTATCGTATGCATTATGCCTCGTTGGTGATAATGACCAGAGGGTTCCGTATTTGTCTCTGCGTCTCGTCCATCAAGCCGACCTGCAGGAGGGCTTCAGGGAAAACATCACCCAGCTACAGCGCAGGTACGAGCACGTGTCCATCCGCCTCGTCCGGCACGCGGCCCGCAGGGGCCTCAGCGCGTCGCGCGTCACCGGCATCCGGGCGGCTTCAGGGCCCGTGGTGGCCGTCATGGACGCCCACGTGGAGTTCCCCGTCGGATGGTGAGTCCCAAAGTCGCTGAGTCCCAAACTCTCTCCAGCTGGTGAACCCCAAACTTTCTCCGGCTGGTAAGATCCAAACTCTCTTTCGGCTGGTAAGATCCAAACTCTCTTCGGCTGGTGAGTCCCAAACTCTCTCCGGCTGGTGAGTCCGCTGTGCCGTGACGCTTTGCACCGCGAGTTTCATCAATCGCTATAGCCAGCACTGGGTCATGCTGAAGGGTGGGAGATTGGGTGGGTGGGTTGGGTGAGGTTGGGGGTAGAGGAGGCGTGATGACGTCACAGCGCGACGCACCCGGCTCAAGGGCTGTGGAATGCGTGATGACGTCATCACGCAGACAGCTGTGACGTTACCAACACCGTGCGCACTTCCCCCCGACCGCGTGCCAGGCAGCCGACTAGGAGGTCGCCGTTGGCTGCCGAATTCGACCCATCCAGAGGGGGCGCCACGGTGGCAAGGAAATGTTAACTACCTCTCCGTGTAACAGGAGGTCGTGGTTTCAATTCCGAATCTGACGCCCCCCATGTCTCTTTCTCTCTCTCCCCGTACTCACGTGGACTTTTCTTCCAGTTTTTTTCTCTCCACATTTAAAATGGCCGTCGCGCGTTTAGAGTATTTGGCTGCCGCTAAACATCAGCGTGTGATAAGCCACTTCGTTGAGCTATTATTTGTGGCCGGAATGGATGTCCCCGGATTTTTTAATGCTACCCTGTTACCAGAACTTTTCGGGCGTGGTATGTCGGGCTTTATTTTGTTGTCATATAACAAAAAAACAACCGTACAATTCGTACAATTTAATTACCGCTCATAGCGAATCGAATGCTGCCGTAAGAGATCGCACGTTTGGTGCAACGGTCCTTCGCCGACTACGCATGACGAATGAATGAATTGTAACGCATCTCTACTCGCTGCTGCTGCCATTACCGCGTCAGGGCCGAGCCGATTCTGGGTCGCCTCGCGGCCAACCGGCGCCTACTGCTGTCGCCGGTATTCGACAACACGCACTACGATTCACTACGCGTGCAGCACTACACCGCCAACGCCCAGGCCTTCAACTGGGAGCTGTGGTGCGCCTACCTCAAGCCGCCCGCCGACTGGGTGAGCAAGGGGGACCCCACCGCCCCCATCAGGTGAGCCTCACGCGGCGGTGACGGACCCATCAGGTGAGCCTCAAGCGGCAGTGATGGAGCATCAGGTTAGGCTCATGTGGCAGTGACAGACCATTAGGTGAGCCTCACGCGGAGGTGACGGACCATCAGGTGGTGGCTAAAGCTACGATTTGGGGGGCCCCCTTGACAGCCATCATGATGAGATTTGTTTTTTTACGCGGATTAACGTTTTGATATTTTTTTATGAAAATGCATTCAATTCGTGTTGCACGTTTTCTTTTAATTTAATTAGCTTAATTAATTATTTTCATTAAAATTATAATGCAAAGACGCCACTACTACGGAGCTGTAAGTGGCTGCCATTTTTTCTAAGGCAGAGCGCCCCCTACAGCGTTAAATGTTCGAGACCGTGAGCGCGTCAGAGATTCTAGGACAGCAGCAGCAGCGCGATCCCAGAAAGGATGCGATTGCATATGTTAGTGTGTGCGGCTGCCGGCCTTCATAGGTACTGCTACTCACTATAACAGCACTTCCCCCAGCAGTCTGTTCAAGGCTATACGTGGGAGGGATCTTTGTCTGTTGTGTTGTTTGTTTGGGTATAGGAGCCCGATTGTGATGGGCTGCATGGCGGCCAGCAAGAGCTACCTGGAGGAGATCGGGTTTCTGGATGAAGGCATGCAGGTGTACGGAGGGGAGAACGTGGAGCTGGGCCTCAGGGTGAGGACGCACAGAAACAAAGACAAAGATCCCCCGTGTAGCCTTAACAGATTGTTGGGGCAAGTGCTGTCACTAGCGAGTAGCAGTAAAGGGTTTTGGCTGGCCATCGAACAATGACGGCCATCTCGTCACGCGCTTCTGCGGCCGTCGGGAACGCTCTTCCGATATTCGGAAGCCACTGGAGCTATGCACTTTTGCATCATCTAGATTGACAGACTAATTTCTTTAGAACTCCTGTTTGTGTTTTAGTTTGGTGTCCTTCCCCCGCACCTCCGATTAGTACCGTTGACTGTGCACTGTACCGAAGAATGTGCATGTATGATGTATATATGTTGTGGGAGCGGTGGTGTAGTGGTTATCACGCTGTGCTACGGAACCGGTGACCCGCATTCGATTACCGCTCACGGCCAACACCAGTGACAATTATCTGAACTGGCCCTGGCCTCCCCTAGGTCGACTCAGCCTTAAATGAGTCCTGGTGTGGTGTGTAAACTTCGCCGTTGGGGAGATAAACGCGGTGCCGTGCCAGCCTTCATATGAGCTCGCTAACAGCACTTGCCACAAAAGTCTTCAACGGCAATACGGGGATCTTTGTCTTGTGTTGTATGTATGTTGAACTTCTTTCGCAACCGTGATAATCGAAGGTGCGGGAAAATGAAAACAACAAGTTCAACACAAATAAGTGCATCTGGCTACCCTGTTGCTAGTGGACAATCACAGCGGCTGGGCTATTGGTCACGACGCCCTACCCCCCCCCACCCCCGTGTATCCAGGTGTGGCAGTGCGGGGGTAGCGTGGAGGTGCTGCCCTGCTCACGCTTGGCTCACATCGAGCGCTACTTCAAGCCGTACGCCCCGGACCTGAGCGTCCACATGCGCAGGAATGCGCTGCGCGTGGCCGAGATCTGGATGGACGACTTCAAGAGGAACGTCTACATGGCCTGGAACGTGCCCATGAACGTACGCGCAGCACGCGCATGCGTATTAATGTGGACGCAATGCATATTCGTTTTACCGTGATGCATATTTACGTTGACATGATGCATATTCACGTTACCGTGATGCATATGCATGTAGACGAGATGCATATTCATGTTGACCTGATGTAGATATTCGTTCGTTTCTCAATCCGCTTGTCCTAGTGAGGGTCACGGCGGCAGTGTTAACCAGGGCGACCTGCCGGAGTCGAACCTCGGCAACTACAAGCGGCGAATGCGCCACCGCTGGGCCCTAGCGTCACGGCCCGATTACTTCCCAGTGAACATGGAACCTTGGCCGAGCATTGGTTCAACGTTGGCCCAACGGTGGTCGAACGTTGGCTCAAAGTTCGTGCAACGTTGGCCCATTCACTGTGTGTACAACTCTTGTCTCGTTGTAGTGCCGCACAGGACTTCAGGATAGACATCGGAGACATCTCGGAGTGTCTCACCATCCTGATTACTTCCCAGTGAACATGGAACGTCGGTCCAACGTTCGTGCAACGTTGTCCCAACGTTTTCTCGAACGTTGTCCCAACGTTGGCGCATCGTTGGCCCAACGTTGGCCCAACGTTCATTCAACGTTGGCCCATTCACTGGGTGTGCAACTCTCGTGTCATTGGTGTCACCGCGCAGGGCTCCGGGATCGACATCGGCGACATCTCGGAGCGCGTGGCTCTGCGCAAGCGGCTCAACTGCAAGAGCTTCGCGTGGTACCTGGAGAACGTGCTGCCCTCACTGCCACGGCACGATGACATCGTGCAGTACGGTGTGGTTAGTATCCAGTACAGCATAGTGAGTATCCAGTACGTCGTACTGCCAGGACCTCTTATCCAGGAGGCACTGTGCCTTGGGCCTACGAAAACTAAAGGGCCTACGGAAGAAAAAAAACTGACCATGTTCTTTTTTGTTTGTATGATAAATAATGTGCCAAAGATATCTTCTTGAATAAATATAATTACATATAGCAAGTAATGGCACAGTGTATATAGAGAGGCAGTCAAGTCAGTCTTTTTTTTATAAGGTGAGAGAATCTACATCATGGGACCTCTTTTGCGAGTACCAAAATATGATAATAGGTTTTCCCCATTTTTCTGGCAACAAAAGAGATGTTAAGATGTTAAAACACCAAACTGAAACCTTTTACAAGGAATCATGTACTCTTTGGTTCTTTCGGTAAAGTCACGTGGGCAGAAATAAAATAAAACAAATCACGACGTTTCGATCGCAACACAAGCAAACTTCATCAGGTGGAACAACCACAGCAAGAAAATGGCGTCTGGTCTAACATCGTTTTGAGACTAGGCTCAAAAGAAAGCTGTCTCTGGTGTGGACCAATCAGTTTCAAAGACGATGCATATATTATCAGAGTACGTTTATTGGTTGCATTCTGACCACAAGCATTGTGGTTAATGCAAACATGATTCCTTGTAAAAGGTTTCAGTTTGGTGTTTTAACATCTTAACACCTGTTTTGTTGCCAGAAAACAGGGGAAAACCTATTCTCATAAGGTGAGAAAAATTAACACCGGAGGTGAACTTTTCAAGATTTTTGTTCATTGCAAAATTAGCTAATAAAGTTTTTTCAAATGGTGTTTTTCGCACAATCTCATTCTCAATAGAAAGTAGTGCAAGGGAAGGCACGTGTTGTTGTCCTATGGTTGATCGGAGGCAGTGTTTTTTTTTTTATCAGATTTATCTTCGAAAAAGAACGCTCCCAATTCACAATTTATTCCCAAGATGGCAAGATACATCCTGAGAGAAATGTAAACATTCGGAAAGCTGCTGATCAGCTTGTCAGATATTTCAGATTTGAGCAAATCTGCCACTGTTGTTTTCTCTGCATACAAGTTCAGTAACAACAGCAATTAATCAGTGGATGATTTTTCAAGATCTGCTGGATATGCGGCAACCAATGCATTAACCCGCACAACAATTTCCTCTGTGAACAGTGATCCATCTACAAGGAAACTGAATCGATCATTCAATCTGGCACGTGCATTTCGCCTTTTTTGAAGTCTCAAAATCTGCAGTGACTTCTGTCCAGAGTGCAGGATTACTGGCAAGCCAACTCGTAAAGGCAGCATATGATGTTAGCTTTGGAGTCTGATTTTGTTTCCACCACATCATCTTGTTCCAAAGGGGCATGAGCCTATTCTTCACTTGATCTACCCTCTATATACGAATGATCGTCTGCTTCAAGAACAACATTTTCATGAGGTTCATTATTATCATGATCCAGCTTTATCATTAATAGCGATGAATCCATTGGAGGTTTTGCACTCTCACTCTTCACATCCTTGTTCATGAACTTCAGAAAAGATCCCTTGATCTCATTCAATGCTTCATCCTTGTGTATTGTTGATTCTTCTTCTCGTGTCCTGACTGATGCTTTCTTTTATATCCATCTGACATATTTGAAGAGTGGGGAGGGTTGGATTATTTAAAATAAAAATAAAAACATTTAAAAAAATAAAAACCGTACTAAATTCTTAAAAATATCGCAAAATTTCCGTGTAAGAAATTACATATGAGTAAATGAATTTAAATAATAAATACACAAAGCAAGAAGCAAATAACATTCCCTGCACAGCTTGACCAAACAGGAATATAAGACAGACTACTAAGAAAGGAAAAATGCAATGAGGCGCTAAATTTTTTTTCTAATTTAGCCTAAAATAGTATCCATATGGCACCTTATTTTTCCATGCAGCAATTTTGACAAATTGAGTATTTTAGAAAAAAAAGAGCAAATTACATTTTTTTGCATTATTTTTGCCGATTAATTTGTTGGCTGCTCTTTGCAATTTCTTTGCATTTGTAACAAGTCGTTGACTCGTCGTGAGGCATATTACACCTAAATACACCTAAAAACAACAGTCAAACAAATGTTTAAGCTTAAACAAAGTAAGGCAACATGACGCTCGTCATGCAGTCGTTCCGTCAGAACATTGAGTTTGTCATCGATGAAAATGAACGGCGTCCTTGTAAATCTACGTCTTCCGATATGATAATAACAGTAAGAAATATTTGAAGAAAATTTCGCTTATTACATTTTTACGCTTACCTTTTTTTTCCAAATAATTTCTAATTAAATTTGATTTTCTGCGGCACATGTCGCGCTCCCATCGAATGAGGGCACAGACTAAATGATGAACGTGTCAGCAGTAACGACGTCTGTCCAGCGGTTGGACGATGTAGGCGTGAAACATTCGGAGTGACAGCGGCAGTAGTGACACAGTCGTGACATGGGGCAGCAGCAGTACCAACTGTGTAAAGTTATTACTTAAGGCCTACAAAACATAAGTGCCTAGGGCCAACAAGAACTTTAATATGGCCCTGCACGTCTCTGAAAGTCGTCACTGAGTCTCATCAAAGCTGTGCGGTTTTACTACAATAACGTTCATCACAGTGGACCGCGACTCCAGCTACACAACGCCACCAATGCGACACCACCAACACAACACCACCAACATGAAACCGCTAATACAACACCGCCAACACAACACCACCAACATGATACTACCAACATGACACCGCTAACACAATACCACCAATATGACACCACGAGCAACACCACCAACACGATACCACAACAACAAAGCGCCATTCGCCACTAAGTCGCGGTGACATCATCACGGCGCTTGTGCCAGGCTAGGTGCACTTAAAGGCCACGTGAAATCTCAAATGCCCGCTGGCAGGTCACGGGACAGACCCAGCAGGTGCCATGGGTTGACTAACTGAGATTATCGGAAGATGCACCACCTGTGCCCCCTACTGTGCCAACTTGCCGTGTTCTAGTCGCCCAGCGCTCCTCTCGTTGTTGTGAGCGTCGCTCTACCGCCCTCCGTTGTTGCTGGAGGGCGACCACCTCCGACTACCCAGTAGCGTACTTCACGACCCTCGCTCACTCACCCAGCCACTCGCTCACATACTCACACATTCACCCACCGACTCACTGCAGAACGGGGGGAGAACTCCAGGCATAAAGTTGCGCCCGAGTCGGGAATCGAGCCCGGAGGCTACTCACTGCCAGTTACCGTGAGCACCACCTCTGCGCCGTCCACCTTCACCTCCGCTTTCCTCGGCAGATGAAAAACGAAGTGAGAGAAGATCTGTGTTTGGACCAAGGCTCTCCCGAGAAGAAGCGGCCCATCCTCTACCCGTGCCACATTTACTCCACGCAGGTGAGGCTCTGGGTGGGCAGAGCGTTCGCCAACTCGGCCTGACAGGAAATGCGCCGGGTTCACCCTCTGCATCTGTCTCTAACGGGATGGAGAGGAGGGGGTCACGAAAGCTCTCCCACAATAGATCTCAAGATAGGTCTCATGATAGATCCCACGATAGCTCTCACATCTCACGATAATGCTCATCTTAAATCTCACAATAGATCTCACGATGGATCTCACGATAGATGTCCCGAGTCACGGTGGCTAGGAGATGTTAACTACCTCACGTGGTATGCAGGAGGTCGTGGGTTCGACCCTGACGCCTGGTGTATATTTGGAGTCTGCGTGTCTGTCTCTCCTTGTGGTCGCGTGGATTTTTCTCCGGGTCCTCCGGTTTCCCCCTCTACATTTAGAATCAACATCACCGCGCGTTTAGAGTATGTGGCTGCTGCTGTAAATGTCCACACGATGACGACAAGCCACTTCCTTGAGCTATCATTTGGTCAAATGAAAGATCGTTTGGTTGACATCTTACGACGACGATACGACGGTGAATGTGCCGCGTGCGGCGCAGCGCGTCTGCCTAACGGCCGCGTCCGAGCTGCTCATTGGAGACTGGAGCCTGGACTTGTGGAGGCCGAAGAGACGCTGCCTGGTGGAGGTGGAGGAGGAGGTGGAGGAGGGGAGGGAGAGCGGTGGCCCGGCCCTCATCGCCTGCTCGCTCGCTCTGCAGCAGAGACGCAGGATGCACTGGAAATTCACTCAGGTGACGGTGCTGGTGGTGGTGGTGCTGGGGAGTGCTGGTGTAGCGGTTACCGCTCTGCGCTACAAACCCGGAAACCCAAGTTCGATTCCCGCTCACGGCGAACATCAGTGACGCTTATGTGAACTAGTACTGGGCCTCCCTTTGGTCGATTCGGCCTCAAATGAGTACCTGGTGCAATGTGTAAAACATCGCCACTGGGGAGACAAAGACGGTCGAGCGTGGTGCTGGCCACTCACCCCCTCGTGTACCGTGCCGGCCTTCATAGGTGCTCGCTAACAGCTCTTGTCCCAGTCTGTTAAGGCTATAAAGGGGGTCTTTGTTAGTGTGTGTATGTGAAGTGTATATGATCTCCACCTCCCATAGCTAAACCCACACCCACAGTGGAACTGCTATTGGCCAAAACCACATCCCCAATGCTGAGAAATGACCAGCAGGTTAGGAAGACCCTGCTAAGAAAACGTGTTGAGACTCAGTGAGGCTTTCCTGGGTAAACGAGACGTATACATAATGAATTAAGTGCCGTACTTCCCAGGACAAACTCGCCTCAGTGGAAAGTGTCACATAACCCACGCGTAAGCATGATTTTTCCTTTTTTTATCCCCTAACCACCCGTCAACCAACTGACCCACCCATCCATCTGCCCACCCACCCATCCACCGACCTATCCACCCACCCACTCACCCGCCCATCCACGCACCCACCGACCTATCCACTTACCCACTCACCCGCCAATCCACGTACCCACCGTCCTATCCACCTACCCACTCACCCATCCATGCACCTACCCACCCACCCACCCGCCCATCCACGCACCCACCGACGGCACCCGCAGGACGGAGAGATTCGGAACACGGAGAGCGGTAACTGCCTGGAGGTGACGGAGAGCACCGACGATGAGCAGGGGCTGAGGCTGGTGGTGCGCCGCTGCTCCCGCCAGCGCTGGCACCTCGGGGAGGTTGGGCGCGTGGCAAAAGCGGGCACCGAATAAACCAGCGGTGGCATCTCGGGCCCAGCGGTAATGGGAAGAGTGGATTTCATGTCTCTGCAGGTCCTCCGGTTTTTCCCTCGACATTAAGAAATGACGTCACGCGTTTAGAGTAGTTGGTTCCCGCTATAAACGTCCACGCGATGATGATGATGATCATAAGCCGAGACTTGGTTGAGCTATCATTTGTGACCGGGTCATTTCTTTAAAAGACGCTTATAGCTCGGTGGGCTTTACTGGGTAAAATAAAAATCGTTTAGTTTCATTTGTATTTTTTAGGGATTTGTTTACCTTTGCACTACTATCGAGTTTTTGTATTGTTGTTCGAACGTTCTGACCCCGTGCCCCTACTGGACATCTGGGAAAATAAGCTTTATAGCTCATCAGATTCCTCGAGTATAAATGTTCAGATTCTGATTTTTTTTAATGTATATATTCTGACTCTTTAATCGAGCGAGGTGGCTGTTATTGAGAGCGTTGGAACTTGGTGAAGCTCTTCTGGGAAAACAAGCGTAATCAATTAATAATAAACTATACCAAAACAAAAGCACCGTGCGTAGCCAACCGTGCTCATCAGAGGTGCGGGGGAAGGACACACACACGTGCGTGACAACGTGGATGTGGGCTTCGCTGGTGGTTGGTGTGGGCATCATCAGGTAGTTGCCAGAATCGTGTAAATGTCCTCCCAACCGTGGACCTTAATAATCAGAATGACTTTAAACTGCAGGAGGAATCCGATGAGCTACGAAGCTCTTTTTGCACAGAAGTCCAGGAACAATGATGCCAACTTGTAACACTGCGCTGCAACGACATTGATACCCGCTCGTCACTCTCGTAGAGAGAGGACGACTCGGAGGCACGAGGGGGAATCACAGACGAGGAGCAGAAAGCCAGCAGCAGCAGCGGCCACGTGATGAGCCGGCACTACCAACAGTTTCCCAAGCTCTGCAGTTCACTATGTATCCAGGTGGTCAGCCAATGAACGAGTTGCTCACATCATTGCGAGAGCATTATCGTGACACCGCTCCGTTACACCGACATCAGAATCAGACTCTTGAGTTAAACTGCAGGAGGAATCCCACGAGCTACAGAAGCTCCTTCCCCCAGGATGTCCGGGTAAGACTGACCGAAGCCATTCTCAACCCCTTCTTCACGCTTTGCTCGGGCAACGTTCACCGTCAGAAGCCCAAAGTGGTGGAAAAAGCAAGTACAGTCTGGTTCTCCTAGAACGCCGCGTGCGGTTTTCATGACATGAATTGGATAGGGAACACATTTGTTGTTATAACGCGGATTGCAAATTGGATATAACGCGATCGAGTTGAACGGAGCTGCGTCGCAGCGCAAGGCATAAGCGGCCGTAGCGGCTGTGCACGCATCTCACGCATTATCGCGGACTGTGCTTTACCCGCCCAAATTATTTATAATAACACGAATTTTTTTCTACGACGCGGTGTTCTTCAGGAACGCAACGAATACCGCGTTATAGGAGAACAACAACAGACTGCTCCCACGACCAAGATTTGGTAATTGCAGTGTGCAGCCACGAGGGGGCGGCTACCGCCCACACGAGATTGCCCCTCGTGTGAGGAGTGCGAGACGACAGCGTTTGGGGCTGGAGATCGGCGCGCGCAGTGGCTACATTGTGAGCTGCGGAGGGGTGCGCAATCGGTTTAAGTGGGGGCCATGATATTTGATTTGTCTCTTCGCACGGTCGCACCCCAGAGACTATGATATATATGTATTATATATAGACTATGATATATTATATATAGACTATGATACATTATATATAGACTATGATATATTATATATAGACTATGATATATATTATATATAGACTATGACATACATTATATATACTATGATATATTATATATAGACTATGATATATTATATATAGACTATGATATATTATATATATAGACTATGATATATATTATATTATATATAGACTATGATATATTATATATAGACTATGATATATATTATATATAGACTATGATATATATTATATATAGACTATGATATATATTATATATAGACTATGATATATATTATATATAGACTATGATATATATTATATATAGACTATGATATATATTATATATAGACTATGATATATATTATATTGCACGGCGGCTCCTATCGCCCTAATCCACATCGTAGCTTTGGCCACCAGGGAGGGGAGGGGAGGGGGGGGCAAGGCACCCCCCCCCCCAGCTCCTTATGCGAGTTACACTATTGGTTTAGGCGGTTCGATATGAACCAAACTGTAGCGTAGGAGTGCGCAGCGCAACAATGGATGTTTTGTTTCACTTGCAGCCCTTCGCTGTCCGCTAAGCAGAGGCCTGTGTGGTGTCATCGCCTCCGACACGCGCGCCACTGAGCACGGAGGCGGTGGTGCAGTCACCCAGACCGGCAACGATCCACAGGCTCAAACCCCGCTTGGATTTACAAGAGATAAAGTCTGGGGGGGGGGGGGAGGGTGTACCGCTCAGGGTTAGCGGTTAGGGTCAGGGTTGGTGGTTAGGGTCAGGGTTGGCGGTCAGGGTTGGTGGTTAGGGTCAAGGTTGGCGGTCAGGGTTGGTGGTCAGGGTTGGTGGTTAGGGTCAGGGTTGGTGGTTAGGGTCAGGGTTGGCGGTCAGGGTTGGTGGTTAGGGTCAGGGTTGGTCGTCAGGGTTGGTGGTTAGGGTCAGGGTTGGCGGTCAGGGTTGGTGGTTAGGGTCAGGGTTGGTGGTTGGGTCAGGGTTGGCGGTCAGGGTTAGCGGTTAGGGTCAGGATTGGCAGTCAAGCGTACGGACGATGTAACGGTGCCAGATGACAAAGACAGATCAGACCGCTGTTGGGGAGAGGTGAGTGAGATGAGAGAGAGAGGTAAGTGTGGGGGGAAAGAGGGCGGCAGGGTGATGGCGATGCAGCCCAAGGACTCGTACCTCGTAGCAAGAAGGGGGCCGCATTCCGTTCCCGACTCGGGCACCTGTGATGATTCAGGATGTTCTCTCTCACCCTGGTCTGCGTGGGCTTCCTCCAGGTTCCCTGGTGTCCTCCTCCCATTGCTAAACCCAAACCTGTACCCATACCCGTACCCGCCATTCGCCACTCAGTGACGGTGACGTCACCACGGCGTCTGTGCCAGGCCAGGTGCATTATGAGGCTGTCACGTGAAGTGCCGATGGCTCGCTGATGGAAGGCCACGGGACAGACCCAGGAGCGATGGGTTTACCGACTGAGATCTGGCAAATGCACCAGCTGTGCCCCCCTACAGTGCCATAGCTAAACCCACACACGCACACACACACACAGAATGTAATTGGTATTGACCAAGTTACATCCCAACAACGCTAGGAAATTCACAGAGCCGTAACATCGCAGACCCCTCTTAAAAAGTCTTGGGTAAACGTGCGTAGTATAGCAACAATCGTCATTATCATCACGATCCATGGGTAGATAGCCCGTAGTAAGTGTCCACTTCACATTTGTTTTCACTTTCCTCTCTATCTTGTTGTGCGAATCTGCTGAAGTGGTGGCCACATCTTTCTGGCACCAATCTCTTCATGCCGTCAAGCCATATGTTAGGTCTTCCTCTCCTTCTGGTTCTTTCCATTTTTACCGAACAACAAACAACACTTTAAATTTCCCTGATGTTGCCCATCGTACGTGTGTCCAAATAGTGCCAGTTTCCTTCTCGTCACTGCCTGCCTGCATCAGCAACAACAACAGAGACCAGGAAACGGGAGATGCACGATGCTTGGCGTCAAGTGCACAGGACGTTGTGACATTTTCTCCATCGCCAAGTGATGTCACGACGTCTCTGCACACGTGGCACATGACGTCACATGGTCTCTGTATACGTGGTGCATGGCGTCACCTACAGAGTGGAAGAAGATAACAAACTCGACATATACTCTTTGGTTCTATTCGGTAAAGTCACGTAGGTAAAAATAAAATAACAAAAAATCACGACGTTTCGGCCACAACACAAGTGGCCTTCATCAGGTGAAGGGACTGGACTGTCCAGAGGACAGCGTTGGAGTGAAAACAGCAAGCCCAGGTCGCGTCCTTTAAGCTGTGTGGGAGGAAACAAAAAAACGCCTTGACAAAGGAATTAGCATAACAATGATGTACTGGACAGGCACGGTGGGGGGGGGGGGGCAGTTTACATAATGTTGGTGTGAAGGGAAATAAGCTGCTGTGAAAGTTTGGAATACCACTACTTGAATAAATATACTGTACCATTGAAAATTAGTTTAATGTTTGGTTTGATTTAGAACATCTTTCCAATGATTGCTTAATTTGAAACCATCCTCTCGGTTGAAATTGTGTCTGTGTTTGTAAATCTGAATTGCCTTGTGGACAAATCTCTGATAAAAACCCGTGGGTTTGCAGAGAACCTTGGTATCGGAGAAAATAATATCATGATAACCCACAGCGTTGTAACAGTGATCAGCTACGGTAGAAGAGTTCGTTCTGCCGTGTTTTAAATCTGATTTGTGCTCGCGAATTCGGTCAGAGACATGTCGTTTCGTCTCCCCGATATAGTAGTCACCACTGGTACAACTCAATTTGTAAACCCCGGGGTACTGTAAGCCAGGAACGACATCCTTCACGGATGGGATCAGGTCACGGATTTTGTGTACTGTATTGAACCGGACCAGGATCTTGTGTTTGTTTAGAATTTTGGAGATCTTTTTAGTAACGCCTCCTATATATGGTAGTGTGATGGTTTTGACCAGAGTATCAAGTGGTTGTTTCTGTATGGAGGGAGAAACAGCTTGGCGGATGGTACGGTCAGAGTATGCATTTCTCTTGAGGGCCAGGTGTACATGTTTTAATTCACTAGTCAGGTGGTGTTGGTCCGAAATGAAATGTGCCCTGTGGTATAACGTTTTGATGAGAGAGTTCTTTTGAGCTGGGTGGTGGTGGGATTCAGGTTTCAAGTAGGAATCTGTGTGGGTGGGTTTCCTGTAGACAGAATGCCTCAGTGAGCCATCAGGTCTCCTCTC